GAATTTATCAACTACAAAGAGGTTAAAACTGTGTTCTCATATAACAGTCCCAAGACATACCAAATGGATTACGGAAGATGAAAGCAGCCACGATGATGAAAGCAGCTATGATGAAGAATCTGATAGCGAAAACCCTGAAACAAGTGACGATATATATTAGAAGCATAACTTTGTAAAACGTTTTGAAGAAATAAATGTATTTAAAAACTGAAATATTGTTGAAACATTTACCTGCAAAGCCCGCTCTTTCTGCCCGCGCGACCCGCCCGCCTGATTAGTGTACAAATATGTTGTACTTTAATATATGCATGCACCCGCAAAGACGCGCGCCTGATTTTAAGGTATACACCTGCGTTAAAAATAATCCCTATCTATCCATCGGGATACACTTAGTTATGCAAATTCGTATTACCTTAATCCCATTCATTACCTACACGCCTCCTAATGACTTAGCAACACATAAACAACGCAAATTTGCAAAGCTTAAAACATGTTTATTGATACAAATAACAGACGATAGTGTCAAAAATATTACAACTAAAACTATTTGTTAAACTGTTCTATAAGTTTTTTCTCCATGAGTTCTTGATAAGCTTTCTTATGATCTGCCTCAAAACTTCTAAATCGTTCACCCGTCGCCTTCACGTACAGAATACATGTAACTCGGTGGGTCAGAGAAAAACGCTTCAGCTACGGACTCGAGTGGGTCTTCTAATCTCCAATGAAACAAATAGTTCAGTATGCATTGTAGTTCGTGGTTCTCAGTGTTCTGATGTAGTTCCATCAATGAATCGACAAACGTAGAATCTGGATCTTTTTCCAGTTGCTGTAAATGTTCGAGTACATCTCTATCAACCGCCAGTTTTAGTACCATCATTGCCTCAGGGAATTCATTCCAAACCATACGCTTACCATTCACTCGTTCGATCGCTTGTAAACCATACGTATGTTAATGAGTGACGTCACTACGCACCCTCCTCATTTGTACGAGTATTAATTATAAATGAGGTAGTGGACGACCCACAACCTCAAAACTCCACCACCTCACACCACCTCATCCACCACATCAAAAATAAGGCCCGAACGGCACCTATATTACTACTTACACCTATTTTCTCAAAATTAGAAAGCATCAGAAAAACCGTGCCCTGTCTGAGGGTCGAACTCAGGACCTTTAGATTATGAGACTAACGCGCTGCCTATTGCGCTAACAGGGCGAACACGTCCAGTCTTATTCCTAAAGGAAATCTAAGTTGTGATGATTAAAGCTTTTTTAAAAAATATTTTCCGTCTTTCGCTCCTGAAAACGCGATAAAAGTCTTTACCATAAACGAACTAATGACGAGGCAAATCATTTTTGACAAAAGTAAATATTAGAAACCACTCACGACTTGGTATGTTAAGGGAAGTCTCAGAATTCACTAACAGAATTTGCGTGAAGCTGCTCGAACAAGTACGTTTGAACTATCGACGTTGAACTCGTTGACAAGCGCCCAACGTGGGCCTCGAACCGCACGACCCTGAGATTAAGAGTCTCATGCTCTACCGACTGAGCTAGCCGGGCGTCGGTTTGTAACTCGACGAAGCAACGAAATGACAGTTCACGATATCAGTGTGTTACGAAATTTCAGAATATACACCTATTTTCTTAAAAGAAAGCATCAGAAAAACCGTGCCCTGTCTGAGGGTCGAACTCAGGACCTTTAGATTATGAGACTAACGCGCTGCCTACTGCGCTAACAGGGGAATCACTTCCAATTTTATTCTTAAAGCAAATCTAAGCTGTGTTGCTTAAAGTCATTTTAGAAAATAGTTTTCTGCTTTCGCTCCTGAAAACCGCGATAAAAGTCTTTATCATAAACGAACCAATGATGAGGCAAATCATTTTTGAGAAAAGTGAAATCTCAGAAAAGTCTCAGAACTCATTGACGTAAATTGGGTGCTGCTGGTCGAACAATTAATATAGAATTACTTTATGGTTTTCGTGTTTGGATGGCCTGATCCAAACACGCGGGAATGTTGCGAGAGTTAAGAAAAGCGCGCGAAACACGAGCCGAAGGCGAGTGATTTTGCGCGCTTTTCTTAACTCGAGCAACATTCCCAAGTGTTTGGATCAGGCCGTCCAAACACGGAAACCATAAAGTAATTGTTTTATAAAATAACAACAACACGATAGTCTTCCGTGTTTGGATGGCCTGATCCAAACACGGGTTTCGACCAATCAGAGCACGTGTTATATACATGTTATTTTATAAGTACGTTTGAAATATCGATATATAAGACAAGCTGGTCGAAGTAGTACGTTTGAACTATCGACGTTGAACTCGTTGACAAATGCCCAACTTGGGGCAAACACGTCCAGTTTTATCCCTAATGGAAGTCTAAGCTGTGATGATTAAAGCTTTTTTTTGTTGACAAGCGCCCTGACATGGGCGTACCGGAAGGAAAAAATTAGGGGGGCGGAAACGAATTTGCCCGACTTTTCGGGATTTTGCCCGGCTAGAACCGAAAAAATTTTTCCCGGAAAAATTGTTTCGTCGACCTCTCCCCCCTCCCCCCGCCAAAAAAATTTCGGTCAGTGTACCATTTTAGGGGTCAAAAATTTTTTCCGGACATACCAAAATTTTTCGAAACATCACTAAAATTTTCCAAAAAAACACAAAATTGACCAAAAAAATGACTGAATTTCCGAAAAAATTGACAGAATTTGTCCCATTTATTTTTATTACAAACCAAAATTGCCCGACTGTTGATCGAATATTGCCCGACTGCCCAAAAAACTGGGGGGGCTACCGAATACTAAAGAATACACACGAAATGACAGTCATTTGAAAGACTTGAAACCACGTCCCCCCACTCCCGGGACATAGCGGGGAATTTAGCACTAACCAAGTGTTAAAAAGACGTACATTAGTTCCCCCACCCTGGGGTAAACTGGTCTGTTAAAACTTAAAACCATGCACCGTACGGACGAATGGGTTTCAGTTTGCATGCATTTGAGTTACCGGTCTTCCGCAACTTCCAGATTGTCCGTTAAGTTTAAATACTGTATATAGCTATCAATTAAAGGCCCTACCTCCAGATTAGTCACCAAGTCTATCCCCATGGCCGTTGCGTTAGTCACCAAGTCTATCCCCATGGCCGTTATCCCTGGTGTTCAGAGTGTATTTAATATATATAGTGGCTGTTATATCCCGAGTCAATTCCCCGGTTATAAAAACATTTATTTAATTCCACCAGTCCATCGCCCTCCGGGGCATAGCACGTTGCCCCGTGCAACATAAATAGCGTTAAATCCCCGCTAAATTTTGTTAATCCCCCGCTATGTCCGGGGGGGGGGGAGTGCGTGGTTTCAAATGACTGAAGCATAAAACAGACGACCTTTCACTCACTCGAAGATTGTGAAAGGATTTTTGAACAAGCGGTTGTGCAATCTTGCATGCCAGGGTCTTTCTGTAGGACCTGTAGCGCCGTGCGGAAGTAAAGACCCTGGCTTGCGAGGTTGGCGGTTGTGCCGTTGTGAAAGCACTGCCGCAGAATAGACAACACAGAACTACGCGACGCCATGGTCACAGAGAAGAGATACAGAGAGGAAACAGACACCTTGATAACCTGAATTTTTGTGTCACGCGTTCCACGCGCCACGCAAAATCTTCCAGCCAGTGCCGTCGCTGAAATTTCATAGCAAAAGATAGGGAAAACGCCGTTCGAAAGGTGAAAATCGCTTTTTTTAAAAAAATGAGATACCCATGGAAATTTTGTTCAATAAATTATTGTAGAATAACGGTAAGCGATCACTATCTACTCCTTATTGTAATCGTGAAAAGCATTGGCTGGAGTTTCAGATACTCATATATAAAAAAAACAAAGCAGCAAATGATATAAATTCTTCAAAATATAACTCTTGCATAAAAAAAAACATGAATACTTCTATAATATGTATAGTTGTTTCCTCTGCATTGTCAAAATTTAATAAAATAGTGAATTAATATAATTTTCTATAGTTAGGGAAAGTACATTTATTATGCCGAGGGGGGGGGATGAAGATGTTAAGGGGGGGCTCCGAAATATTTTCTGGCATTAAAGGGGGGGCTCTGAAAGTTCTTGATATACTGAAGGGGGGGGCTCTAAACTTTTCAAAGGTTTGACCCCAGCAAATAAAAGTTAAAATTTTTACATCAGTTTCAGGTAAAATTTGCGTAATAAAGTAATTATTTTTGTGAAATGATAACCATTTTTGTAAAATACAGTCAATTTACATGCAATTTGTTTGCGAAATTTGCTTTAGAAAACGCCAGAAATTCAGTCCTAGAGCTTCGAAAATGTAAAAATTTTCTGGGGGAGGACCCCCAGACCCCCCTTTTCTCACAAAACTTAGTATAAGAGTGCCACAATCAATCACAAAAAGCTTTATTATAATTATTACACGTATAATCCTCTGACATCCCCCCCCAAACGTCAGATGCTTTGCTACGTCCCTGATGGTTGTATTCGAAACCGATTTCAGTTTTAAGATATCCTTAGTGTGCTCTTTTAAATGGATACATGAAATCGCCTATAGCTTATTTAAAATTTTTTTGCGCCAGGTTTGTGAAGTAATTTACGCGCCAAAAAGCAAAAAAGCATATACAATTTGCAAGAATGATATGTTCTATGTTTATGGAATATTTCGTACAAACGGGATGGAAATTAAAGAAATTGAAGCATACTGGCACTTTTGCATGCATTTTTGAGAGGCATGCAAAGACATTTGCAACAGATGCCGGGAGATATGTTGGGTGGGGGCAACATACTGTAAGGTTCCAGCACATTACCCTGATCCAGGAAATCCTGGCCACTACATGAACGTGTTCAAGACTTCAATGATGGATACGCTTCAATGATGGACAACAACAACCTGTTGATAATTCCACCCCTAGAGCCAATTTAAAAAGTTTTAAAGACGGTGCCATTTCATCTGGCGCTAGTGAGATGAAAGAAGCAGCAGATCGGTAGTTTTGTTGAGGAGAAGCACTTGAGTATATCAGACATCTTGAGGAACTGCAAATTGTATCTATGATAAGAGAGAATTCCGGATTGTACTCCTTCGATTCCGAATTCTAGAGGGGGGGGGCATTGAAAATTTTAAAAACTTCGAGGGGGGGCATCGAAATTTACCGATAACCTCAACAGGGGCCCTGTAAAAATATGAGCTTTTTTCAAGACATCTTCATCCCCCTCCCTCGGTGTAATAAATGTACTTTCCCTCAATAGACTGAATATATCGGCGTGACATAATTTGCCGCGTGTTTCCTCTCTGTACTATTTCTCATGGTCAAGCCAGTGCTCGTTTGAGAGGCATTCACCCCCTGATAATATTCTAAATGGCGGACGTCCAGGGGGGGGGCAATACCTCTCAAACGCGCAATGGCTAGAACAATGGCGTCAGCATTTTGATGATGAATCATGGCGTGGCAGCGGTTACTCGAGTCACAGAATAGGAAGGTATAGCAGAAGTGTAACTCACTGAGCAAGTATTTGTCCCAGTGAACTCTAATAAGGATTTGTCCGCGTTTTTACAAGTAATACGTCATGAATCACGCCATCCTGGCTAGTACAGCCGGCACTTTGTACCTACCAAAACCCGATTGTACTAGCCAGGATGGCGTGAGCGAGTTAAAATTTTCGTGGACGTAAAACAATAAAGGAACCGAGTCAACCGACTAAAGTTACACTTCTGCTATACATTCCTATTCTGTGCTCGAGTCGACCTTCTGTATGTCTTTGTTCTGTGGTACTGCGCCCGTCCGTATTGAAATCTCAGCGGATTCATAATTATATACATTATACTCTAGCGCAAATTTTACAACTGAGTTTATCCAATTTTTCTCCTTCATTGAAATTTTTTGAAGGTAAATACTTCAATTTTTGACAATATTCAAGTTTCATAGAATTTACAGTTTAATACTAAGCCACTAGTGACTTTTATATAGTTTATACGACTTTTATATTAAATATACAGCGTTGTTGTTGAACGTTTACTTTTACACTTTATAGATTTATAACTAATTAATGTCTGATCAAATTTGTGAAGACACTGAAGAGATATTTTCAACATCCAACAGCTTGGACTTAGCCAGAGAGGTAAGAAAAGAAAAACCTTATGAGTGTGATCTTTGTGGGAAGAGGTGTTCCAAAAAAGGAAACTTAAATAGACATAAACACATCACACATGAGAAACCTTTGTTTGAGTGTGATATTTGCAAGAAGACGTTTCCTCGATTAGATCGTTTAAACATACATACAAAATCACACACTGGTGAAAAACCTTACGAATGTGATGTTTGCAACAAGAGATTTTCAAACTCAGCTAATATGGTTGGTCCTACTAAAGAATGCCCGGGAGTTGGGAAAGAATGCCCAGGAGTTGGGAAAGAATGCCCGGAAGTTGGGAAAGAATGCCCGGGGAAAATTAAGTTCATAATTACGTTAGTTTATACTAATAAAATCACTTATTTTATGAAAGATTAAATAATTCTTGTAATATATGGCATTGCAAAGTACTGTTCACGGAATGTCCGGCTGTCACAAAAGAATGCCCGGGAGTCGAAAATGAATGCCCGGGGTAAAATTACGCAAGTAATTACAATAGTTAATGATAACATTAACAAGTCTTTTATTTTTTAATGAAAGTTTCTTGTAATATATGGCATTGCAAAAACGATTCACAGAATGCCTGGGGAAAATTACGTACCGCTAATGTCTTTTTCAAATCTACTCAGAATATATCACTATCAGTGAAATATATTTTCGGTAGTGTAAAAAAATGTTTCTTCATCACATTATCACCACAAATTATTTATTTGGCTTTGTAATGCTAAGAATTTCAAAAATGTTGTCTTTTGTTCTGTTAATATTGTATTATATTTGCATGATAAGTGCCTATTAAAAGCGCAGAATAACCTAAAGCCTTTATAATGTTGTATATATAATGTGATGAAGAAACATCTTTTTACACTACCGAAAATATATTTCACTGATAGTGATATATTCTGAGCAGGGGCGGCGGAACAGATTTCATTTTGGGGGGGGGCTAAATTTTTTTCTAAGATGTTTCTTCATCACATTATATATACGACATTATAAAGGCTTTAGGTTATTCTGTGCTTTAGGCACTTATCATGCAAATATAATACAATATTAACAGAACAAAAGACAACATTTTTGAAATTCTTAGCATTACAAAGCCAAATAAATAATTTGTGGTGATAATGTGATGAAGAAACATATTTTTACACTACCGAAAATATATTTCACTTGTTTCCGGACATATACAAGAAAAGGGATGAAACAAAAATTTTCGGGACCTATAACAAAAAAATTTTCCGGACATACACAGTTTTTAAACAAAATATGGCATATTTTTCCCCTTATACCTAAATTTTCAAAAAATACCCTAAATGTTTTCCTTAATTATCAAAATTTTTTCAGAGAAAAACAAAATTTCTGGGGGGCTAAGCCCCCCCCCCCCCACTTTTGCTTCTGGGGGGGCTTTAGCCCCCCTAGCCCCCCCTGTTCCGCCGCCCCTGATTCTGAGTAGATTTGAAAAAGACATTGGCGGTACGTAATTTTCCCCAGGCAGGCATTCTGTGAATAGTTTTTGCAATGCCATATATTACAAGAAAAATAGTCTATTTTGAAGGCTTTAAAACGCAGTTTCGATTCTAACGTACTGCAGACCAACTGGCGGCCGACAGGAGAATGATTGTACTGTACTGAGGATATGTAGCGTACAACTTTACTTGTGCATGTAATCACAGATGTAATCTTGGACTCTGTCTTATCTCTGTTTTTATGCGCCCAATAAGGACAAAAATACCACCGTTCGATTCAGCGTAAGAAATTGTACTCACAGATGTCAAAAGTATTACTAAACAACAGTATTCTAGCGATTTATGGCCTTTGAAAGTCAAGCGAAATTGTTTTTGTTGACAAATCGCTCAAAATTATTAAACTATAATTAAAAATGCAGTACGTTTGATTAAACTTTGGTATCGTTGGTTTTCTCTTTTCGGCCGTATACCAGTATATTCATCTCACTTTTCTCTTCATTTTGATAGTATTTCATGTGCTAAACCCTGGACGATGGACGTCCATCGTCCAATAAAACCTGGACGATGGACGTCCATCGTCCAGCGTCCAGTCCATCGTCCAGGGTTTAGCACATGCCTCATAAAATAAGTGATTTTATTAGTATAAACTAACGTAATTATGAACGTAATTTTCCCCGGGCATTCTTTCCCAACTCCCGGGCATTCCTGGGCATTCAACGAATCTCCCCGGGCGTTCCCGGGCATTCCAGGGCATTCTTTAGTAGGACCCAATATGGTAACACATAAAATCCCCTATTATTCTAAAAGAAATTCCGGCATAATGTGTGTGTCCCTATGGCTGATGATTAAGTAGAATATATAAAGTTTCAAACGCACATAACTGTTGAACAAGTTTTTTGCCAGTCCCCGGTTATCCCTGGTGTATTTCAGAGTGTATTTAATATATAGCGGCTGTTATATCCCGGGTCAATTCCCCGGTTATAAAAAACATTTAGTTAATTCCACCGCCCTCCGGGGCACAGCACGTTGTTAAATAGCTTTAAATCCCCCTAAAATTTTCTTAATCCCTTGCTATATCCCTTGCGATACTCTTCGTCCCAATTACGAACTGATACTCAACTACGGGAGATAGAGCTTAGTGATACTATGTCATTAGCTCCCAAAATTGATGAAGTGAGTTGTTTTGTCACAGAAAAGAGTCCTGACCTTGCCTGTATAACGGAAACATGGTTAAACGACCGTATCTCAGATTCCTGCCTCGATATTCCAGGTTACAATTTTGTTCATAAAAACCGCAGTGTGGGTTCCCACGGAGGGGTTGGGGTGTATATCAGGAACACGATATTTTATAAGCCTCTGAATCATCTCCACCATACAGATTACGAAGTTCTGTGGGTCTATTTTCGTCCAAGTAGACTTCCTCTCGGGTTTTCCTGCTTGATACTTGGTGTCGTTTACCATCCACCTAATGCTAATGATGATGAAATGCTCCAATTTCTCTCCACATCACTGATTACTATTGAAAGCACCTATCCTGGCTGTGGGTTTATTCTTGCAGGTGACTTTAATCGGTTAAAATGCAATCGGATATTAACACAGTTCAGTTGCAAACAGATTGTTAACGTTTCCACAAGGGCCAACCAGACTTTGGATTTAATAATAACCAACTTACATTCGTTTTATGATAAGAACTCTGTCGAAAAATTTCCGCCATTTGGTCTTTCAGATCATAATGTTGTGATTGTCAATCCTTGCAAAAGAGAACCCAAGTCATGCAGTGGAAGAATTATCTCTAGGAGAGATTTACGATCTAGTAAAAGGCATGAGCTTGGAAGATACCTTACATCTATCGATTGGTCCTCTCTGAATCATTTTGACACATGCGAAATGAAACTCCAGTATTTTGAAGAGTTAGTACGTCTCGGTATTAGCACCATTATGCCAATAAAGAAAACGGCTTTGCATGTACACGATCCTCCATGGATTACTGCAGAATTTAAAGAGCTTATAAGGAAGCGTCAAGCTGCCTTCTGCAGTGGAAATACCTTTCAGTTCAAGTATTACCGGAATCGGGTTAACCGCGAGCGAAAGACATGCCGGGCGAAATTCTACTCTTCAAAAGTAAAGAATCTTAAATCGACCAAACCGAAGAGATGGTGGAAGGAGGTGAAGCAGATTGCTGGTATGGTACCTACAACCGGCTCCGATGACCTATGTAGTCAACTTCATTTAGACGATATCGAGAATATGCAACGTCCTGACATTGCGAATTTAATTAATAACGCCTTTTTGGAGCCCATGAACTCCTTCAATCCACTGTCAACCCTTCCCCCCTTTGATAATTATTCCTCTTTTCAAGTAAACGAACTGGAAGTCTTTCATTTATTGAAAGCAATTAATCGTGGAAAGGCGTCAGGTCCTGACGAAATTCCCAATTGGGCTCTTAAGGAATATGCTGAAATCCTCGCACAGCCAGTATGCGCTGTGCTAAACAGCAGCTATGCCGAACAACAACTACCTAAATCTTGGAAGCTTGCCAACATTGTGCCCCTCATAAAAACTAAGCCCGTTAGCGACATTTGTAAGCAGTTACGACCAATTTCACTTACTGCCGCTATTTCGAAAATCGGTGAGGACTGTGTTGTTAAAAAATACATTGCTCCAGCTATCATGAGTATAATCGATCCAAGTCAATATGGAGTAATACCAAGAAGTTCAACTACTCTCGCTGTTATATCTATGATCCATGAATGGTCGCAAGCTACTGATGGCACTGGCTCTGCTGTCAGAGTCATCCTGTTCGATTATAGAAAAGCATTCGACCTTATCGATCATGCTTTATTGGCTGATAAAATTTCCAATTTAGCTATTCCACGTGCGGTTGCTCGCTGGACAATCGATTTTTTGATGAATCGAAAGCAGAGAGTGAAATTATCCAATGACTGTTATTCGGAGTGGGGTGATGTACTCTCCGGTATCCCTCAAGGTACAAAATTAGGGCCCTGGCTATTTTGTTTAATGATAAACGATCTTGATATTTGTGATATATCGAGGTGGAAGTTTGTTGATGACACAACAGTTGCTGAAGTAGTTAGTAAGGACACAGAGAGCCGTGTTCAAGTCGCAGTTGATGTTGTGGAAGATTGGTCGAAGGCAAATGGGCTATCTCTTAACGCTGAGAAATGTAAAGAACTGAGAATCGATTTTAAAAAAATTAAACAACCTTTTGATCCTGTACTGGTGGGTGGAGAAGCATTGCCTATAGTTGAGAGTGCAAAAATATTGGGTCTTGTTATGACAGGCACACTTCAGTGGAAAGATAACATCAGAGAGAGTATAAAGAAAGCTAATAAACGTACACCTCTATTTTATAGTATTATTGAAACGGGCATGCGTAAATGTCAATGATGTCTTGAACTTTTATTGTACAGTGATCAGGCCTGTGCTCGAGTATTGTGCGCAAGCCTTCCATCATTCCATTCCAAAGTATTTGGCAGACGAACTTGAGACTGTCCAGAAACGTGTGCTAAAAATTTTATCTCCTGAAATGACATATTGTGAGGCCCTTGAGTATTATAGACTGCCTACTCTATTTCAAAGAAGAGAGGACATGTGTGACAAACTCTTTACGAGTATCATCAAGGATCCAATGCATAAACTTCATCATCTGCTGCCCCCGAAGAACGAGACTGATTATTCTTTCAGGACGAATCGGTATTTTAATATGTACGTTACACGCACGAACCGCTTTTATAACTCTTTTATCCCTGCTATGTGTAGGAAGTTTGTAGGATAGATTTTATGCTTATTTTAATCGAATTTTGATCGTGGGTGAGTTTTATAATATTGTATTAATAATATATTTATATGTAGTGCATGTGATAATATGTAATCCACGCAATTCAGCTTCTGGCTGCAATGTGGTTTCAATTTAATAATAATAATAATAATAATCAAAATTAAATTAAAAAACACGACGTCGCTAATTGCCTAAGAAATCTTGATACATCCAAAGCAAGTGGTCCCGACGGAATTCATGCACGTCTTCTAAAAGAATGCAGCCAAGAAATCGCTCCGAGTCTTTGTTCTCTCTTCAACCTCTCCCTACAATCTAGTTGGATTCCTTCCGAGTGGAAATCAGCAGACGTCGCACCGATCCATAAGAAAGAATCGAAGGAGCCAGCGGAAAACTATCGGCCCATTTCGTTACTGTCAATTGTCAGTAAAGTCTTGGAACGCTGTGTGTACTTTAGATTTCACGACCACATTCTACATCACATTAGCCAAGCTCAACATGGCTTTCTTCGAAAATGCTTGTGTGTGACTCAACTGCTATCAGTATTCCACACTATTGGACATGATCTAGATAATAATATTCAGACGGACGTCTTGTATCTGCTAAGGCTTTCGACTCCATGGATCATGCAATCGTTCTCGAGAAACTACGTGGTTACGGTGTGACATGGTCGGTTTTGGGTTGGTTCGCAGACTATTTGAATGGTAGGACTCAGAGAGTCGTTGTAGATGATGTGGCTTCGACGTGGTCACCAGTCACCTCTGGAGTGCCTCAAGGAAGTATTCTCGGTCCGTTATTGTTTGTCATCTTCATTAACGATCTCCCAGATGTTGTGCAAAATGGAACTGAAACAGCCCTGTATGCTGATGATACTAAATTGCACAATACAATTACCTCTACTGATGACTGCAAATGTTTACAACAATTGTTGACAAATCTGAATTGCTGGAGTGTACAAACAACATCCGTTTCAATGCTTCTAAATGCAAAGTACTCACCATTACACGCAAGAAGACTCCTGTCACTTATGATTACAAACTGGGAACAGAAAGTCTGACTCGAGTTGACAGTGAAAAGGATCTTGGCGTCCTCACTTCCTCCGGACTTTCATGGGAACTTCAAATCAATTGTGTCATCTCCAAGGCTAACAAAATGTTAGGTGTACTGAAACGAACATGTAATCAACTAACAGACAGAAAAGCCAGGCGAACTCTTTATTTGACTCATGTGTGCAATTATGCTATGCAACGGAACTTTGGTCACCCGTAAATAACATCCAACTCTCAAAGCGGGTTGAAAGAGTGCAATGTCGGGCGACGAGATGGATCATGATGAGCAGAAGCGGAGAGCTGAGCTACAAACAACGTCTGTTGGCCTTGGACCTTCTGCCGTTAACCTTCGACAGGGAGGTTAAGGACTTGGTGTTTCTATACAAGGCTTTGTTTGGTTATGTGAATGTTGATGTCAGTAACTGTGTCTCGTTTGTCAGTCACGGTCGAACTCGGCTGAGTAACACCTCAACGTACACTCTACAAAGTCAAATTTGTAGAACAAGCACTTTTCAATCTTCGTACTATAATCGTATTGTCAAACTGTGGAACATTGTATGTAAAGATGTATGTTTGGACACTGTGTCTAGTCCTAGTTCTTTTAAATGTTTAGTTAAACGTAGATACTCTAGTATTGTGGATTCTATTTATGATGTTGACTTGTCATGTACGTGGTCCTTGTTTCGTGACTGTTCGTGTCATAGGACGTAAATTGTGGTGCACTAGGCGGTTGTGTCTTGTGTGTGTAATGTTATATAAACTAGTTTTAGTAACGTTTGGGAAGGTATCTTGCATGGTTCTTTGAGTCCCATTTATACCTTGCCCATTTAGGGTCTATATTCTATTAATAGTTTGATTGAATATTTTATACGTTTTTTTTCTTTGTAATATATGATTAATTGACCCTAATAAAGATGATAATAATAATGTCGTGGGGTGGGGGTGGTTTCAAATGACTGAAGCATAAAACAGACGACCTTTCGACACTCAGGCGTAAAAAAAAATACCTGTGGTTCCGGTTCCCGACCGACCCTATTTTTTTCTGCCGACCCTAATTTTTTTACGATATGAAACCGGAACCACAGGTATTCTTTCTTTACACCTCACTCCAAAATTGTGAAAGGATTTTTGAACAAGCAGTTGTGCAATCTTGCATGCCAGGGTCTTTACTGTAGGACCTGTAGCGCCGTGCGGAAGTAAAAACCCTGGCTTGCGAGGTTGGCGGTTGTGCCGTTGTGAAAGCACTGCCACAGAATAGACTACACAGAAGCCCAACTTCTTGGTTTTTCCTGATTTTCCAATGATTTTGGCGTAACCGTAATTCGTCATCAAAATGCTGACGCCATGGTCCAGCACTGCGACGCCATGGTCCAGCCAGTGCGCGTTTGCGAGGCATTCACCCCCTGATAATATTCCAAATGGCGGACGTCCAGTGGGGGAATGCCTCTCAAACGCGCAATGGCTAGAACAATGGCGTCAGCATTTTGATGATGAATCATGGCGTGGCAGCGGTTACTCGAATTGACCTTCTGTTTGTCTTTATCAGCTGAGGTCTTTATTCTGTGGCACTGCGCCCATCCGTAATGAAATCTCAGCGGATTCATAATTATATACATTATACTCTAGCGCAAATTTTACAAAAAAGGCAAATGCAACAAAGTTGAATTTTATTAAATCACTATTTTCATTATTTTACAATTTATTTTTATATATTTCTCCTTCATTACAACTTTACCATATTTTGCATGCACTGGCTAACATTGTGAAAATTTGATGAAAATCTGATTGATTTCATAGAATTTACAGTTTAATACTAAGCCACTAGTGTAGGGCCCTCATTGATACCAGTGATATATTACTGAAGAGGTTATACCCTACGGAAATAAATTTGATTTGATTTGATTTGATTTAGTGACTTTATAGTTTAAACGACTTTTATATTAAATATACAACGTTGTTGTTGAACGTTTACTTTTACACTTTATAGATTTATAACTAATGTCTGATCATTGTGAAGACACTGAAGAGATATTTTCAACATCCAACAGCTTGGACTTAGCCAGAGAGGTAAGAAAAGAAAAACCTTATGAGTGTGATGTTTGTGGGAAGAGGTGTTCAAAAAAAGGAAACTTAACTAGACATAAACAAACACATGAGAAACCTTTGTTTGAGTGTGATATTTGCAAGAAGACGTTTCCTCGACTAGATCGTTTAAACATACATACAAGATCACACACTGGCGAAAAACCTTACGAATGTGATGTTTGCAACAAGAGATTTCCCATCTCGGCTAATATGGTAAGACATAAAAGAATACACACAGGAGAGAAACCCTATGAATGCGACGTTTGTAAGAGGAGATTTTCTCAGGCAACTGATTTGGGGAGACATAAACAAACACACACTGGGGAGAAACCTTATGAATGTGATATTTGCAAGAAGAAGTTTGCCCAGCCTGGCTACTTAGTAATACATACCAGAATACACACTGGAGACAAACCTTATGAATGTGATGTTTGTACCAAGAAATTTTCCCACTCAAGCCAGTTAGCAAAACATAAACGAATTCACACTGGAGACAAACCTTATGAATGTGATGTTTGTACCAAGAAATTTTCCCACTCAACTAAGTTAGCACAACATAAACGAATTCACACTGGAGACAATCGTTTATATGAATGTGACCTCTACAACAAGAGGTTTTGTACATCCGGAAATTTAGAAACACATAAAAGAGCGCACCCTGAGGCCCAACCTTATGAATGTGATGTTTGTAAGAAGAGATGTTCTTCTTCACACAATTTAGCAATACATATAAGAACACATACCGGGGAACAACCTTACGAATGTGATGTTTGCAGTAAGAGATTTTCTCAACCGAGCAATTTGGTAAGACATAAAAAAACACACACCGGAGAGAAACCCTATGAATGTGATGTTTGTTACAAGAGATTTTCTCAGGCAACTGATTTGGTGAGGCATAAACGAATTCACACTGGGGAGAAACCCTATGAATGTGATGTATGCCAAAAGAAATTTTGTCACCCAGCAAGTTTACCAAAACACAAAAGAACACACACTGGGGACCAATGTTATGAATGTGAAGTTTGTACAAAGAAATTTTCCCAGCCAGGAAACTTAGCAAAACATAAAAAAGACAAGCATTGCTTTGAATGTAATGTTTGCAAGGAGACATTTTCTCAGTCCACTGATTTAGTAATGCACGAGGCATTACATTTGACAACACAAATTATATCTGAGGATTCTACAGAGCTGTTTCCAACATCAAGCAACTTTGACTTTACACAAAATCAAGAAACACCCAATGCTTATGAATGTAATGTTTGCAAAGAGCAATTTTGTCAGTTAAGTGAGTTGGAAATGCATAAAACATTACATTTAGCAACACAAATTGTATCTGATGATTATGTGGAATTGTGTTCAGCATCGAGTGACTTTGCACAAAATGAAGGAACACTCAATGCTTATGAATGTGACATTTGCAAGGAAAAGTTTTGTCATTTAAATGATTTAGAAATGCATAAAGCGTTACATTTAACAACACCAATTACATCTAACAATTGTGCAGAGTCGTTTTTGACATCCAGCAACCAAGACTTTGCACAAGAAGGAACACACAATTCTTATGAATGTGATGCTTGCAAGATGACGTTTTCCCAATCAGAACATTTAGAGAATCATAAGAGAACACACACTGTAGACAAGCCTTATGGAAATGATGTTTGCAATGAAAGATGTTCTCAGTCAGCCGATTTAGGAACACATGAAACATCGCATTTAACAACAGAAAGTGAGCCTGACCTTTGTGAAGATATGTTTTCAACTGAGAGCAGCTTGGACTCAACAAGAGAAGAAACAGTATTCAAATCTTTCGAATGCGATGATTGCAAGATGGAATTTTCCCAGTTAGAAAATTTGGAGAAACATAAGAGAACACACACTGTAGACAAACCTTATGAATGTGATGTTTGTAAGAAGAGGTGTTCCAAAAAAGGAAACTTAACTAGACATAAACAAACACATGAGAAACCTTTGTTTGAGTGTGATATTTGCAAGAAGACGTTTCCTCGATTAGATCGTTTAAACATACATACAAGATCACACACTAGTGAAAAACCTTACGAATGTGATGTTTGCAACAAGAGATTTTCCATCTCGGCTAATATGGTTAGACATAAAAGAATACACACAGGAGAGAAACCCTATGAATGCGACGTTTGTAAGAGGAGATTTTCTCAGGCAACTGATTTGGGGAGGCATAGACGAACACACACTGGGGAGAAACCTTACGAATGTGATATTTGCAAGAAGAAGTTTGCCCAGACTGGCTACTTAGTAATACATACCAGAATACACACTGGAGACAAACCTTATGAATGTGATGTTTGTACCAAGAAATTTTCCCACTCAACTAAGTTAGCACAACATAAACGAATTCACACTGGAGACAAACCATATGAATGTGATGTTTGTACCAAGAAATTTTCCCACTCAAGTAAGTTAGCAGGACATAAACGAATTCATACTGGAGACAATCGTTTATATGAATGTGACCTCTGCAACAAGAGATTTTGTACATCAGGAAATTTAGAAACACATAAAAGAGCACACCCTGAGGGCCAACCTTATGAATGTGATGTTTGTAAGAAGAGATGTTCTTCTTCACACAATTTAGCAATACATAGAAGAACACATACCGGGGAACAACCTTACGAATGTGATGTTTGCAACAAGAGATTTTCTCAACCGAGCAATTTAGTAAGACATAAAAAAACACACACCGGAGAGAAACCCTATGAATGTGATGTTTGTTACAAGAGATTTTCTCAGGCAACTGATTTGGTGAGGCATAAACGAATTCACACTGGGGAGAAACCCTATGAATGTGATGTATGCCAAAAGAAATTTTGTCACCCAGCAAGTTTACCAAAACACAAAAGAACACACACTGGAGACAAACATGAATGTGAGTTTGTACAAAGAAATTTTCCCAGCCAGGAAACTTAGTAAATTATACCTGATGACTCTGCAGAGCTGTTTTCAACATCAAGCAACTTTGACTTTTACAAGGAGACACACCCATACTGGCAAGTTAGTAATGCATAGGAGAGTACATACAGCTAATTGCATTAAGATGTCCTCCAAATGACATGAATATATTCGGTTACGCTTTTTTCACGTATAATGAATATGCGAGATGAATATTTTATTCATAACAACGTACTTTTCGTGCTTGGCTTTTACCTTTTAGCTTTGTCGGCGGACAATCTTAATGCAATTTATAGCTGTATACTGGTGACCAACCTTATTAAAGTGATGTTTGTAAAATGAGATTTTTTCAATCAAGCAATGGACCAGTTGCATTATAGACTAAATTTTGATCTAAACAAGTCTAGACAAAAATTTCATCACAGCTTGAAAGAGCGTCACAATATTAGCAATATTCCAAAGTTTCGTTGCTAAATGTTGTAAAATGCGGATAATATAGCCTTGCGAAGTTTGCCGTTTTTCAGTCATTACCCCAAAGGGTATTCATATTCAGTTTTCATACCCCAAAGGGTATTGGGCTGTCAATTTCCCCCGCGTAATGCAAAATGACTGAAAAACGGCAAACTTCGCAAGGCTATATTATCCGCATTTTACAACATTTCGCAACGAAACTTTGGAATATTACTAATTTTGTGATGCTCTTTCAAACTGTGATGAAATTTTTGTCTCGACTTGTTTAGATCAAAATTTAGTATATAATACAAATGGTCCATTTAGTAAGACATAAGCGAAAACACACTGGAGATCAACTTTATGCATGTGATGTAACTGATGTTTGCATTAAGGGATTTTCTCAATCACATGCAGGGCAGCCAAGAGGTTGCGTTGCGCGTGCACAACTTTCCCAGGGCGCCCGTATGACCTCATAATTGTAAAGCTGCGGGAATATTGCTCTTTATTAGAGAGGTTAAGATACCCCGGTTTCGGTGTACGGGTACGAGTAGTGTCATCTTGTTTTACTAATGTCTGTAATTCGATCATACTTTTTCTGTTTTTTTTGCAATAGACAATGATATAATGCGAAAAATGTGAACCTTAATTACGAGTAAAGGTACAGACATCGACGAAAATATTGCTAACCAAAATCATGCTACTCGTACACGTACACCGAAACCGGGGTATCTTAACCTGTATATTGCATATTATCCGGCTCTAACTCAGTTAAGAGATCTTGTATCAAAAAATTTTAGGGTCTTTGTTGCTTTGGGGGCTCCTTTTGAGCTGATGATCCGGAACAATGTGTCTGCCCCCTCTCACGGCGACCCTGATAACTGACTAGATAAATTAGCGAGTCATAAGAAAACACACAATGAAGCCCATCTATGTGAAAGTGATGTTTTGCAAGAAGTGATTGTAACTATCAACACGTGAAACGGCATATTTTCAACACACTAGAGACAAGCAATGAATTATATACTTTAAATGTTTTATCAAAAAGACGTTCTCCTTTTAAGGAGCTTTGTAATATCTAAGGATATAACCTTTAGTATTCTTCTTTCCACGTTTAAATCTGTATTAAATATCAATAATTAATATTGATTGTTAATGTTACATAAATATAAGGTAAAACACATTTTAGCTTTGTTTCATTTTGGGTTTGCGAGCTGACTCCATTCCTAACCCTGTGGCTATGCGTTAAATTTTATGCGTGATTTAGGCCCGGGTCAAACGTCTATTGCGGCGAATCTAATAACTGTATTAATGGCTACATAAGAGCGACGTTTGATTAGGTTAAGTTCCAAATGCCTTTCTCGCACCTAACCCAGCAGAACGGATTAGGTGCGATAGAGGCATGGGAGCGACATGTCTGGTGTCGCACTATCCGACTTTGGGGCGACAGCAGTTCAAACGTCGCATACGGGAGGAATTTTGGGTCCAACGAAATACATTTCGATACGACACTAGAGCGACGTTTGAGCGGTGTCAAATGAAACGTTGAACATATGTCGCTCGCGATGTAAGTCATGAATTAACATATAGATACGTAAAATGACATATAATATAGATTGAAATAATCGATCCATCAGGTTCGGTGGATGTCCGACGTTTCTAAAATTGTCTGACCAACACAAATTGTTCCCAAAATATGTGTCACCAGTAAGTCTTGTATTCTGCCGGATTTTAAGGTACAATTTGCCCGACTTCTCACTACAAAATACCATGGCTGCAGATCCCCACCCCATCTTCTACGCCTATGGTTCGACGCATGAAATGAACGACATTCGACCCGGGCCTTAGTTGTAGTTGCTGTAATGATGGTTCGAAACAGTGTTAAAACTTGTTTAATTCAGGTTGAAACCAAGCATTGCTCCATGTAAATGAAGGGATTATTGGCCAGTGGTTGAACCCCGCGCTTCCCAGGTTGAACATCTTGCCAGGATCTTGTAAGATCTTACAGGATCTTGCTAAGATCTTGTCAAGAAATTATCGTGGCCAGATCTTGCTATGATCTTGGCAAGAATTTCTTATTTTCCTGCCAAGATCTTGATACATTTTAAAAACAAAATTAAAGTACACTTTTGTCAAGATCTTGCCATAATCTTTCTAGATCTTGCCATGATCATTTCAAGATGTCCACAAGATCCTGCCATGATTTTACTATAATGTTGTCAAGATCTTGCCGTGATAGTTCAATATCTTGCCATGATCGTTCAAGATCGTGCCATGAACTTGTCAAAATTTCCACAAGATGTTGCCATGATTTTACTATAATGTTGTCAAGATCTTGCCATGATCTTTCAAAATCTTGCCATGATTATGTCAAGATTTCCACAAGATCTTGCCATGATTTTACTATAATGTTGACAAGATCTTGCCATGATCTTTCAAAATCTTGCCATGATTATGTCAAGATTTCCACAAGATCTTGCCATGATTTTACTATAATGTTGTCAAGATCTTTCCGTGATAGTTCAATATCTTGCCATGATTGTTCAAGATCTTGTTAAGATTTCCACAAGATCTTGCCATGATCTTGCCATGATTTTACTATAATGTTGTCAAGATCTTTCCGTGATAGTTCAATATCTTGCCATGATTGTTCAAGATCTTGTTAAGATTTCCACAAGATCTTGCCATGATCTTGCCATGATTTTACTATAATGTTGTCAAGATCGCCGTGATTGCATTAAGATTTCCACAAGATCTTGCCATGATTATGTCAGATTTTCACAAGATCTTGGCATGATTTTACTATGATCTTGTTACAATCTTGCCAGGATCTTGCATGACCCTTCAAAATCTTCGTTTGCATGACTTCATAATCCTCCTTATGTAGTACGGACAAAGTTTTACTCTCAATAGTGTTCTTCACATATAAGCATTACAATGGTGCTTTCGTTTTAAGGGAGGGGGATATTCGCTATAAGGATTACAATGGTGCTTTTCGTTTTAAGGGGGGGATATTCGCTGAGATATCTACAATTAGAAACAATAAAAATCGTAAAAATTTTAAATTGGGGCGTGACGAGAAATTAACCCGTTTACTGCCACTCACGAGTAAAGTTGTCCGGCGTTGATAGACAGTATCACAGTAAATACTAAAGTAGGTCGCATTGCCAGCCAGTGGGGGCTAATAAGAGACATTTTAATACTGACAGTACTCTAACACTGACAAGTAAAATCGTCTGGCGTTACAGAGTGTAAATTTGTCTGGGGTTAGACGAATTAATACTAAAGTAGGGTGCATTAGTAAGCTAATGGGTATGCCGTTTATCCACTTTTGACCCAATGGCCTCATTTTCATGTTTGTCACTTACTCGTGTTCCGTGCACACAGTTTAATAATAAGTTTGTGATTGGTCTTTAAATCATAAAATGATGAATGAGAAACAAATTTGTAGGGGATATAACGTTCATGTGCAGGCCTGCTATGCTACCAATGATAAAACCTGGAAATGAGGGCATTGGGTCAAAAGTAAACTTCCCTTTAGAGAATTGTCTAGAAGTACACTCTTTTGCATTCAGTTCATGTCGCCAAACGGCAGCACTTTCCTTGCGATAGTAACTCCTAGTATATAGCGGCTGTTATATCCCGGGTCAATTCAATTAACTAAATAGTTCATTCCACGGCCCTCCGGGGCATAGCAGTAGCACGTTGTTAAATAGCGCTAAATCCCCGCTAAATTTTGTTAATCCACCGCTATGTCCGGGGGAGTGTGCGTGGTTTCAAATGACTGAAGCATAAAACAGACGATCTTTCACTCACTCCAAGATTGTGAAAGGATTTTTGAACAAGCGGTTGTGCAATCTTGCATGCCAGGGTCTTTACTGTAGGACCTGTAGCGCCGTGCGGAAGTAAAGACCTTGGCTTGCGAGGTTGGCGGTTGTGCCGTTGTGAAAGCACTGCCACAGAATAGACTCACAGAAGCCCACGACTTCTTAAGGCCCATTTACACGATACGATTAGTTGTATACGATTGTCATCCTGACGAATGAAAACGAGTGCTAATGCCACGTTATTGCTCATTCACTAATGGCGAAATTTGAAATGTGACGTTTGTAAGTGTGTTTATTCGATCACATACGCCAGAGTAAGAATCGTATACAACTAATCGTACCGTGTAAATGGACCTTTAGTTTTTCCTATGATTTTCCAATGATTTTGGCGTAACCATAATTCGTCATCAAAATGCTGACGCCATGGTCCAGCAGTGCGACGCCATGGTCACAGAAAAGAAAATGGACCAGAGGTGTCGTGATTACACTTCCTGGCTCGCGCCTGCGCATAAAAAAATCTCGGACATAATTTTGGCTAAGTGAGGCTTCTGGGAGGGTCTTAATGGGGGTCTTTGGGTGTCAGTTGTCAGCTAAAATTTAAGCCAGTTGTCAGTGCGATATATTGTAAGCTGTCAGTAGTCAGTTACTGCAAAATGCTGACTTATAATTTTTTTCATCATTTCTCAGTAGTCAGTTAGGATATTTTGTCAGTTGTCAGTCAAAAATTCAGGCAAATGTCAGTAGTCAGTTAACCCCATTCAGACTCTCTTCTGGTCTATTTTCTATTCTGTGCCATGGTCCAGCCAGTGCGCGTTTGAGAGGCATTCACCCCCTGATAATATTCAAAATGGCAGACGTCCAGGGGGGAATGCCTCTCAAACGTGCAATGGCGTCAGCATTTTGATGATGAATCATGGGGCATCAACTATTTCGCTGACCTCAGAATGACATTTCGTCAAAACACTTTTCTTCAAGATTGGTTTATAAACAAATTTGGAGTAGGGTTAGGGTAAGGATTAGGGTTAGGGTTGGTGTTTGGAGTAGGGTTAGTGTTAGTAAAACCATTGCTTTGTTACGTTTTGTCACTCCGAGGCCAGCGAAATAATCTCTTCCGAATCATGGACATAGAGATTATAAATAACACTAGAGGAGGCATCGAGTTTAAAAATTGGGAACGCAACTAATGGGGGGGAAATTCAAGTCCCGGACAGGGCCGCCGAGAGGTTGGCTGGGGCCCGGGGCAAATTTTTTTTTAGGGGCCCCTATCTAAAAAATTATTCCCGGAAAAATCCCCCCCCCCCGTCGCCAAAAAATTTTCGGTCAGTGAGTGTACCATTTTAGGGGTACAAAAATTTTCCGGACGAGTACGTTGCAAATTCTTTCGAGGGACTTTATCTCATTTTTTATGCCAAAATTCGGTACTTATGCCCAAAAAACAGATATCTTGTCCTTTGTGCGGAAATATTTAATACACAAAAAAGGCTGGGGCCCAACAAAAATTTTTCAGGGGCCCCCAGCAACTCGGGGCCAGGGGCAATTTGCCCCCCCCCCCTGCCCCGCCTCCCCCTCTCGGCGGCCCTGGTCCTGGATATAAAATCGTACTCTCATTGGCTGATTTGAAACTCGTCACCAATGAGAACACGAATACACATCCAGGACTTGAATTTGCCACAACCTCGTACCCAGGCTCTTAAGGTTGGGCGTGGCAGCGGTTACTCGAGTCGACCTTCTGTATGTCAACAGGTGCATAGAGATTATAAATAACACTAGAGGAGGCATCGAGTTTAAAAATTGGGAACGCAGCTAATGGGGGGCAAATTCAAGTCCCGGATATAAAATCGTGCTCTCATTGGCTGATTTGAAACTCGTCACCAATGGGAACACGAATACACATCCGGGACTTGAATTTGCCCCCCAATAGTCGCGTTCCCTTTTTTTTTACTGAATTAAGATTACAATGTCCTCTATAGTCTAGGACCTGTATATGAGTTTGTATGCATTTCATTTAGGACAGATAATCTCAACTGTTTTAGGGTAAGTTGACCATGACGGTCAACACGGTAACGCTGCCCGAACCCCAATCCGGGGCGAAACGTCCGAAACTGACCACACCCAAAAACGACGCTTTCGCCATACTGCTATCTACCAAACCATAAAAACTTTGGCTATTCTGAGGTGCTTATATGGTTCAGAGATGGTACTTTTGGGGGTGGTCATTGGTAAGTGTGAAATGCCAAGCACTAATATTTCACAAGAAAATGGCCATGCAATAATCATAGTTAAACGTCAATTTGTGGCTTGCAAATTCAGATAAACAGCAGTGGACTTACATTACCTTTTTTCCTAAATCGTTTTGATAGAAACATAAATGGTACTTATTTAAATATATTATCACTGGTTTGGTGTAAAATAGTTAATATTTTCTGACCGAAATAATAATTTGAAATGTGCCTACCTCCTGCAAATGGACGTATTTGGCCAAGTTCTCCACTTTACTCCGCTGTTTATCGGCGATCTCGTCGACATCCTACAAAAAATGTAAATCATCTCAGACATAATGGTATCAAGAATATTTTAAACAAGTTTCAACTTGGTTTCAAGTAGATCATACCTGTTTAACCATCGACAAGGTAAATCCACAACTTTGTCCAAATTCGGCGCCATTTTGTCATCCCATGTCGCTTGTTAACAATTCAGCCTTGTTACTCTTCCATCCAAGCCATTTCCATTCCACTAATAATAAATTTAACCCTTTATAACAGGAGGAAACTAAAAAATCTAAACAAAATATAAGAAATACGCCATTTTATCACCATGTAAAATTTTGCTCACGAGTCTTTCAAAACATTCCGTACAAATATCGCGTGACAAAGTAACAGGGATGTGACAGGAGGGGGTGAATTATTTCACGAAGATAGAAGAAGGCTGCGTGAAATAGACTAAAAGCTAAATACAATCATACAAATGTTTGTTTTATTTCTTGTAGCGACAAATATATACATATTATTATTTATTAATATGAAAAAGTCATACAAATTAAATGTTGATTGTTGGTTTTATCATACTGTGTGGGCTTTCCTTTCATTTTTCAAGTCTCTACCCCCCTGTCACGTCCCTGTTGCTAAACCACGCGAGATTTGTACGGAATGTTTTGAAAGACTCGTGAGCAAAATTTTACATGGTGATAAAATGGCGTATTTCTTATATTTTGTTTAGATTTTTTAGTTTCCTCCTGTTATAAAGGGTTAAATTTATTATTAATGGAATGGAAATGGCTTGGATGGAAGAGTAACAAGGCTGAATTGTTAACAAGCGACATGGGATGACAAAATGGCGCCGAATTTGGACAAAGTTGTGGATTTACCTTGTCGATGGTTAAACAGGTATGATCTACTTGAAACCAAGTTGAAACTTGTTTAAAATGTTCTTGATACCATTATGTCTGAGATGATTTACATTTTTTGTAGGATATCGACGAGATCGCTGATAAACAGCGGAGTAAAGTGGAGAACTTGGCCAAATACGTCCATTTGCAGGAGGTAGGCACATTTCAAATTATTATTTCGGTCAGAAAATATTAACTATTTTACACCAAACCAGTGATAATATATTTAAATAAGTACCATTTATGTTTCTATCAAACAGATTTAGGGAAAAAGGTAATGTAAGTCCACTGCTGTTTATCTGAATTTGCAAGCCACAAATTGACGTTTAACTATGATTATTGCATGGCCATTTTCTTGTGAAATATTAGTGCTTGGCATTTCACACTTACCAATGACCACCCCCAAAAGTACCATCTCTGAACCATATAAGCACCTCAGAATAGCCAAAGGTTATGGTTTGGTAGATAGCAGTATGGCGAAAGCATCGTTTTTGGGTGTGGTCAGTTTCGGACGTTTCGCCCCGGATTGGGGTTCGGGCAGCGTTACCATGTTGACCGTCATGGTCAACTTACCCTAAAACAGTTGAGATTATCTGTCCTAAATGAAATGCATACAAACTCATATACAGGTCCTAGACTACTAGTGTTATTTACTGCGGATTCAGGTAGACCATTTAATGCGAATAGTTGTCGCGTTAGTTTTAACAGTTGTACGATGACGTTTCTAGGCAGATTTTCGACGTTTCTAAGCGGATTTTACTACATCCCGGGCGTTCTTTGTCAGTGCCCGCGATCACAATTAGTATTATCAGCGGTATATGATGATAACATCGAGTGTTTCCTGAAATCACAATGTTTGAAAGAAAACATCTTAAAAGCCAAATATAAATTATATAATACTCGATGTGAATTTATAACTTGATTAAACTGTAACAGTTTGTCAGCATGTTAATCTATATTTCAAGATATCAGTTTGCTTCTAGTCAGTTTATTTGATGCAGACATATTGCCTTTTAATTTTTTGACAAAACTGTTTATGTTTTCGCACTAATTTCACAGATCTTATATGAGCTAGTAACATTTATAGCAGCTCAAATAAAAAATAACCAAGTGACTGGACAGACGGGAGTTATTTCGTATTTTGTAGCAATATAAAAACTTTTGTTTGCGGTAATCTTCACCAAGTTTGTCGTTAGCTCAAGCGGTAAAGGCGATGCGTAAGTGAAACGCAGTCGGGGTCGGGATCGATGCCGAACATTTATTATCTGATTTAGCTCTTTTTCTCAATTTTTTGTAATTTTTTTCTTCCTTCCTTTTCTAACTCTTAAAAGTTAGGCCGGTTAGTGTTTGGGATCGGTATAAAATCTAAAGTGCTTTAAAAAAGTTTTAATCTTTTTTTATCTGGTTGAAAATGTTTGAATATTGAGTTGCGAACTCAACCGCTGGAAATTCTAATTGTGATCGCGGGCACTGACAAAGAACGCCCGGGATGTAGTAAAATCCTTTCTAAGCACAGGCGGCCCAATCTCAGAATGAATGATCAGGTGTTGCGGGTTTTTAACGGTTTTTATAAACAAATTTATAGTCAACCAAAACTATTTTAAAAACATTCTTAAATTAGTCAAATAAATACATTTTAACAATAAAATATAGTTGACATGATAGTATAATACCTTTGCATTCTTTTAATTACTCCATGAGCTCATTTAGAGCGGTTGATGTAACATTGTAACAATTTGGGCAAATTTAGCGACAAACGGAACCAAAATCTCCTCAAATTCGGATACTGTTCAAAACACTTAGGGCTGCTCGGGCACGATCGTGGACGTGACGTAATCAATACATACTGACAATAACGCCTTACCGCCTTACGTGGGGTGGGACAGCATCAAGCGACAAACTATCGTCAAATTTGATATGCTGTCCCACCCCGGGTAAGGCGTTATTGTCAGTATGTATTGATTACGTCACGTCCACGATCGTGCCCGAGCAGCCCTAAGTATTTTGAACAGTATCCGAAATTGAGGAGATTTTGGTTCCGTTCGTCGCTAAATTTGCCCAAGCTACGATCAAACCATATTATTTAAAAAGAGAAATCTTTGCGAAAAGATGTAATCGAATTTGTTTTGGCGTACGAGAAGTTTGAGCGGAGATATTTGACTTTGAAGGCGATGCGGTCGTGCCGCCAGTGATTAGCCTTTTACTATTTAAGAATGTTTTTAAAATAGTTTGGTTGACTATAAATTTGTTTATAAAAACCGTTAAAAACCCGCAACACCTGATCATTCATTCTGAGATTGGGCCGCCTGTGTTCTAAGGCGTGGCTTCAACGTTTATTTTTAAAATTTGAACGTTGTAATTACAAGGTAATTGCTAAATAATATACTTCAAAATAAAGTTTCCGTTTTTATTTCAATTTTTTAAATAAGTTAGGGTTAGGTAAGGGTAAAGTTTTGCGTTACCCTAACTTATTTAAAAAATTGAAATAAAAACGGAAACTTTATTTTGAAGTATATTATTTAGCAATTACCTTGTAATTACAACGTTCAAATTTTAAAAATAAACGTTGAAGCCACGCCTTAGAAACGTCGCAAATCTGCCTAGAAACGTCATCGTACAACTGTTAAAACTAACGCGACAACTATTCGCATTAAACGGTCTACCTGAATCCGCAGTATAATCTCTATGAATGTATGTCTTTATTGTAGTGATGGGCGATTACCGATTACTTGGTATCGATACCACCCGATACCAGGCCCAAATCGGAAGTAGTCGATACTCAGCCTAGTCCCTAGGCCTCTTAGTTCGCCTATTGCGCGTTTCTGCATATTAATGAGGTGACGGCTCCTGAGAGGCCTAGAATAAAATGTTTCAAGTGAGCCAAAAGGGAAATCGCTAGATAGTATACTTCAAAATAAGGTAACCGCGAGAAGACTGGGTACGAGTTTGCCAAAATCTTCGGAAATCAGTTACGAGCGTTCTACGAACTTGCCACTCCTTTTGAAGGATGTTTTCTTACTCGCGCGGCTTTTTTAAATTTTGCGGGAAATTCAATTGGCGCGAAACGTTCCGAGGTATACAAATTGATAACAGGTCTTGTTACTTTAATTGAAATTATACAGTTATACGTTAATTTTTCTTTGTCATCCGAAGCATGTCGGCGAATATAAATTCGAGCTATGTTGGCGACCAAAAGGTGGCCGTAGTACAAAGCGAGTCCGATGTAAAAGCTCTGATTAAAGAATACGAGACGGAGACGAGCAGCAAATTCGTTGTTTACTACGGTGACAAGAGCTTTGGATCAAATGGCAAGTATTACTGTTAACGTATAGTATATATTAAGAAGTATGTCATTAGCGCATAAAGCAATAGGTTTTGCACATCACTTGCAACGAAGACATGTACACAACACCTCTGAGAGGCGACCGAGGTGGAGTATCCGTGCAACTTCTAAAAATCTTAAAATTATCAGGGCGTAAAAATTAGATCAGGGGGCTTATATAAATACCAAGGGGGGGGGGGCAATTTGGAAGGGGCCCAATTTCCCAAGAGGGGGGCCCGAAATGCTGGAATTGCGGAACGTGTTAAACATTTAGGAATATTGTGAAAAATTAAGATCGAAAAATTCTGAAAAACGTATTTCCCCCCTTATCCAAAACAGGTTTGCGAAAAATTTTTTTGGACCTTTTATTTTCAGGAAAACGTATATCTCCCCCTCCTCATCTTTTTCCGGAAATTTTTTTGCGTACCGGGGGGGGTCAAAAGGAAGAGGGCCCAAACTTTTAAGTTCACCCCCCCCCCCTCTGACACAGACTCTGGACACAGCAAAAATAACAAATTTATTAATACTTTTATGACTACAAATTTCTTTTCTACTAACAAAAATGTATGCAGAATATACTGATAATAAATAATATTACGCTTTTACAGAATTCGACTTTTTTTATTGTTTAATTGATTTTTAGAAGTTAGAAAAGACAAACTTAAGGTTTTCTGGGAGAGAAAGGATGGTAACCAAGGGCCAAGTATTGCATACGACGGAATACCATTCGTGCATGTTGGAGAGAAAGTCTTGTGGTGTCACCAAGGGAAAGACAAAAACGAAAAAGCAAAACAAAAAAATAAGGAGAAGATTCGCAGCAGTCAGGTAACAAGACATTTAGCAAATACTAATAGGCATACACAGCTTTCCACAAATAAGCGGATTTTACTTTTCATTTTACAGGGTGCCGACCATTGTTACCATACCCAGAGAAGATCTTTTGCTCAGACATCTAAAAAGAAAGAATGCCCAGCTACAATTTTCATCACACAAATTGCAAAATTTCCGCAAATGAAGGTCTTTAAATGTTGTAAACAAACGATAAAATAAGTCTTTTTCTAACATACATAAAAACCCGCAAACATGACGTATACACTATTCTTTAGATTGAAAAAGACAGTATATTCTTCAGAAGAAGAATTGCAAAACAATTGCACGAAAAATTGAAGGAAAACACTATTGCAAGTGACGGTGTTGAAATGCGGTATATCGTAAAGTTACCTCATCCTTCTGAACACCAATATCACTTAACTGGGAAGGTAACAATTTGTTTAAAAGTTAAAGGGAATTGCATGTATGAAAATAAATATTGACGCAGAATTATAAATTACTAATGACAACATTTGGTAATGATAATATTTTAATATAGTACATTATCGCAACCGGTGAACCGCAAGTTTATCCTATCCAACGTTTCAAGAAAACACTTTAATACCACAGAATAAACATTTACAGAAGTCCGACTTCGTGTCGGTGGTGCCTTTGATGTTAGTGTAACCGCCACCACGCCATGTTATTTGCAAACGCAAAGCACTCTAGCCAGTGCGCTAAGAAGACGTCGCCATCTCCCTGAAAACGTTCCAAATAGGCGGCTTGGCGTAAGCGTTCAGGGGGGGGGGAGTCTTTCGTAAGCGCACACGCTAGGGACATGGTGTAACCGTTGCAACGGTTACGCCCAAAGTGGGACTTCAAGTGTTTATTCTGTGCCAGGAATCCACAAGATTCTTTCCTTTACCGTCCTCATTCAACGAAGACGGCATCAGATGACTCTATCCAGGATCAAGATGGAGATACCGTCTCCGATGATAGTCTCGAGGAATCCACGCAAACATTACTGTTCTGCCATCAGACATGCGATCAACGACATCTCCTGACCAGGTATGGCAACCAAATGTGCCTGCTTGATGCAACGTACAGAACAACAAAATATGACCTTCCACTGTATTTCCTGTGTGTCAGAACAAATGTGTGTTATCAGGTGGTGGGATCATTTGTCATACAGTACGAAAATATTGAATGTATAACAGAAGCATTAATGGTGTTCAAGGAGTGGAATAAAGATACATGGAATCCTTTGCGTTTTATGGTGGATTTTGCAGAGGAAGAAATTCAAGCTCTTGAAACAGTCTTTTCAGGTAAGTAAATGTACCAACGGGAAAAGCTGTTTGAACTCAAACCATTACTTTTGTAGCGGTACATATATAAATGCAAGTAGGCGCTTCTTAACAGACTTAACACAGAGCGATATTCCTTGCGTATCTCTTTCTACATATGTGTGGGGTATAGAAAAATATGGAGCTTTAAATTGGACTTGATTCTGGATTAAGATGATTTTTTCCCGTGAGCGTTTAAACAGCTTGTTCGCAGTTCGCCACATTCTAAAATATCAATAAATATATGGCACAAGTTTTCAGAATGTATATAGATAGGATATTACTTTGAATTTGAATCTGCTAAAGTCACTTACCGGAAACTGATCCATGTACGGTAAATGTACCCATATTTTTAACATTACCTAAAATACATATTTTACATGTCATGTATTACTGTAGATACAGAAGTACTTCTTTGTGATTTTCATCGAGAGAAGTCATGGCAAGAGTGGACATCTAAACTTGACAATGGCGTTGCTCAAGACAAGCAAGAAGTACTCAGCCTATTACGGAACATCGCACGTGCAGCTACGTCTGAAGAATGCCGAAAGTCAACCGCAGCCCTTACAGAGAGCAAATTTTGGAAAGAAAATCCCAAATTAAGGAATTGGTTTGGTAACAAGTGGCTGCCAAACATCAAGGTATACAGCCATCATGGGGACTAGACTGAGGGGGAAATTAGTACTAGCTACTTGAAATAATATGATATGATTATGAAATCCTGAAAACGGTATTGCCCAGCCTGAAATCACGTCCCACTAAAAGTTTGTTTCCTTTTTTAGCCAAAACTGTACTGTACCACTTAAGGTAAATCATATTCTTATTCTTACAGAGATGGTGCCAAGCGTATCGGGCGGAAGATTTCATTTGTGCAGTCAACACCAACAACGGTATTGAAAGACAAAATAGGTCGTTTAAATACGAGTACCTGTTGGGGAATAAAGGATGCTCTCTAAGTGACATGGTAAAAGTTCTTGTCAATCAGTTTCTGCCAAAAACTTTCAGAAAGTAAGAAATTTTCAGTACCTCACCTATACTGTAAAAAGTAATCAATCTAAAGGACTTACTTAGTAAATCACAGATGTGATTCCATTGTGAGGTGTTCTTTACATGCTGTACTGTAAACCAAGTCACGAGTTTATTTTCTTATCATTGTGTGTTCACCATCCCTAAAATGTATTTTAAAGAAGTGCATACAAATGCAGTATATTTAACAAATGCTTTTGTCTGTGACCTTAGGTATGTTGAGTTAAATGTGAAATGCCATGATGGCTACCGTGCTTACAATGAGGAACTGCCAAGATTTCTTTACAACAGACCAGCAAAAATGGTGTCCCACATAAAGAAGCGGTGGGAAAGTGACATAGAAAATGACATGGTCACAATTTTGTCTTCAGGGGTCTTCGAAGTACAGAGTTCGACGGGAGGGAATCAATATAAAGTAACCTTTGGAGATGATAAAAATTTCCCAAACTGCACTTGCCTGGACTGGAGACACAACAAGCTTCTGTGCAAGCACTTCTGTGCATGCATGAAAGCTTTTCCAGAATGGAGATGGGAAAAACTGAGTAACAAATATAGAAGCAATCCGCTGTTTTCCTTGGATGAAACTATCGTGCCAGCAGACAACACCCCACCTAAAAATCAAGTAAATACAGATCAGCAGCATACACCACCAAGAACCATAATGAATGAGACAGATACAATGGACAGCGATGATTTTGCACCACTACCACCTAAAAGGACTAGTGGCAAAAATGCTCTTCGTCTTAAATGCCGAAATTTAATGAAAGAACTTTCAAGCCTGACATTTCTTATAGATGACAAGGAGCAACTTTCCTCCCTTGTTAATGATCTCGAAGCAACATTAAAAAAAGCACGCAAAGAAGCACCACAGGAAACAGGAATTATCATACAAACAACGCACCCGAAGAGGAATCCCATTAGAAAAACAAATAGCACCAACACGAAACCTAGTCAAAAGAAACAGAGGAACATTGAAACACTAATGAAAAGATCATATGGCCGCCCGAAACATCCCTACACTGGCCGAGTTGGGAAGCATTCTGAAATTATGAGAAAAAACTACAAAGTGCATGTGCCACTAGCTGCAGAAAAGCCTAAGAAAAGAAAATCGTCAAGAACAGATATAATAGACCTGAGCTCACCCAGTAAAAAGCCGTGCAAAAGTCTTCCACCAAAACAGCCCTGGGTATGTCTTGCCAATTTGACTTTATCTCTGGCAGATAAAACAGCACTTACTTCTGGAAAACTTCTTAATGATAACCACATCAATGCAGCCCAAATTCTTTTAAAAAACCAATTTCCTAACATTAGTGGCTTGACAGATACTTTAATAGTATCAAATCAACTTCCTAGTAAAGGTTCCTCAACTTCAATGTCGAACATTATTCAGATCCATAACATTCCTGGACATTGGCTTGTATCTCAGTCAAATGGACAATCAGTGATTGTCTATGACTCTCTGTATCCTGGACTGACAAGTCCTTTGTGTAAACAGTTGGTATATGTATACAAGAGTCTGGCAAAAGGATGTCTGTTGCACGTGAAACTCCGGTGCTGCCAGAAGCAGTCAGGTTTTGTTGACTGTGGATTATTTGCCATAGCCAATGCAGTAGCTCTTGCTAATGGAATATATCCTGGAGCAGTCATTTTTGAGCAGAGCCAGATGCGTCCACATCTACAGCAATGTCTTGAACAAAAAGAAATCACCATGTTCCCACATAAACTCAAGAAACAGCCATGTCACATTCGGGAGAGGTCAATCATGATAAAGTGCTGAAAATGTTTCTGAGTTGGTATTTAATAAGTTAACCACACTATATACTAGTCTTGTAACTATATAGGTACCTAGGGGTGGAGCCAGAGGAGGGCTGGGGCTAATCTACAACCCCAGTTGGGGACCCCAAGACCCAGCCCCCATTGGGGAAAAGTTAGCAATTTTATTTATTTATTTATTTACAACTTGCCTTTCAAGCTTGGAGCCTGCAACAGCTAGGGTCATTTATTGTCGGTCCACTAAGGCCATTTTACTGTGGGTCCACATTGTTGGGAAAGAAAATATGTTAAGGCGTAAAAAAAACCCCTGTGGTTCCGGTTTCATATTGTGAAAAAATTAGGGTCGGTAGGTCGGAAATAAATTTTTTTTTGAATATTTTTTTCATGGTTTTGGCGATTTTTTGCTGGGCGATTTGCAGTAGAGTCCCGACATCAATATTAACTAGAGGTGCGTATTTCCTATGGACGAATTGAGGCAATTTGGTTCAATAATTAGTGTGACAACAGACGCCATTTTGGCACGCTGTATGAGCAGCCCGCAACCACCTGGAGAAAATAGGGTCGCACGGTCAATTGCGTTGAAAAAATAATAGGGTCGGCAGAAAAAAATAGGGTCGGTCGGGAACCGGAACCACAGGTATTTTTTTTTACGCCTAAACACTAGTTCAAGAACTCACCCCCCTGTCACTGCTTAGCTCCTCCTGTCAAGAACCTTACCCCCCTTGTCAGTGAATTCCTAACATCACCACTGTATATAGACAAGTACAGTGGCAGTGTGCTAATTATCCTCGCAGCTGAAAGCTAAGCTGAATTGTAAATTGAAGGACACAACCTCAACACGATTGAGTCAAAGGCTTTCAAAGGGTACCTCCGGCAGCCACCTTACGATTAATGTCTAACCATGGAGCACAACTATGGTCAGTCATTGTGATAGGGAACTGCAGTGCCTGGAGAAAACCCACAACTTTCAGTAGAGCATTGGAATTCATGGCAATTTGCACTTTTGATTGAAAATGCCGGATCATTCCAGAAAAATGCATCCAAGGCAAAGTTTGGCAATTGTGACCTAATATTTTAAAAATTTATTTGACGTAAATTAAATTATGGGTTTGATTCTCACTGCATTGCAGACTCGTTACACCTAGTATGTAAATTGTGGAGTTACAAACATTATGTTTAGATATTAGTTTAACCCATTGAGTTGCACCAGTACTCGAGACCATTTCTGCCTATATATAATTACATACTGCAAGACGGCTAATGTCCCACCTATCCTTGGGGTGTGGGTATTACACCTTCCAATTTTTGGTGTATAAATATTATTATATTAAAAATTATTAACACAGTACAGACGTCAACAGTCCATACAGTACAGTTAACAGTTTATAGCATGTATCTACAGTTAATATTGAATGTCACCAGCATTACAGCTTGTATATACTATACAGTATACACTTGACCTATACGACATAGTCTATTGATATATCATATAGTTTATATTGGATTAGTGTTTATATTGTGTGTACTTGATATGTTTGAAATATATTTATTCACCAAATATTTATATAAAAATGAAAAATATATTTCTACTTCACCTTTAATTTTCATTTAGACACGGTCTTCTTTAGTACGACGATCAGATTAGAACAATGACAATACTTGTCAGAATCGATGAAGGATATTTTTGCTCGAAAAGGCGAGAGTCGAAGGAAAAATCAAATAACATGAAATCGAATTTTATATCCAAGTCTGACATTTGAATATCATTGTGCTTTTGGTTTTCCTCGTAGAACGCTCGTAACTGATTTCCGAAGATTTTGGCAAACTCGTACCCAGTCTTCTCGCGGTTACCTTATTTTGAAGTATACTATCTAGCGATTTCCCCGCGTTGATCCAGTATCGTTGTGATATCTGACTGAATACAAAATTCACTCCACCCGCATGGTTGGCACGCTCGTGGTAATCTTTCACAACCAGTCTTGTAACCCAATTACCTCTCGGGAGAATGATCGGAAATCTCGCATCATATGGTAATTGTTCAGCAAATTCTAAACGACTATGTGAACGTAAGAGTCCATCTTCATCAATCCTAGGGTTCAACTTGGCGAGGTGACTTGTCGGTGATACTGGTCTTCCTGCTTTCACTAGTCGGTAGTCCTCGGGCAACGCCTGACGTTGGGCATCGCAAATAACATCGATCTCAGCTTCCTTTAACTCGTCGACCGTAAGCTCGCGTCCACTGCGTCTTTTTTCTGGATTTCGCATGTTAAATACCACTCGTTTCACACGGGCTAAAAGTCGTATCAATCTAGACCAGTCCGAGAACCGTTCTGGTTTAAGTCTCCACTCAGCTACCACAGGCTCCGTCTCACAGTCCGAAATGCCGAGAACCTTACTCGCGAGTGAAGTACTGACTACCGGTCCTTTGGGTGGTTTCTGCTCTGACAAACTCGGAGGCTTACGTTCCAACTCCATCTTCGGCCAATTCTCACTACTCATCTTTAACCATTCGGGACCTTCCCACCACGTCATATCTTCAGCTAGTTGCGCTGGACGGGCACCTCGAGTACATACATCGGCTGGGTTCTCTGCGGTTGACACGTGTTGCCACTGGGATGGACTGGTGTTGCTTTGAATCTCGCCTACACGATTCGCCACGAACGATCTAAAATCTCTTCCTCGACCCCGAACCCACCATAACACATCTTCACTGTCGGAAAAGAAGCTAGCCTCTTGAATCGGGAGATACAATACGTTGTGAATTGATTGAGCCAATCTCAATCCTAAGACAGCCGCCATGAGCTCGAGCCTCGGTATCGTGGTCGGATTAAGTGGAGCAACTTTCGACTTTGCAGCGATCAGGCGACAACTTGGTCATCCTCATACTCTGTTCGGAGATAACTAACCGCACCATAGGCCGCCTTGGACGCGTCCACGAACGTGACGACCTCTTTCTTCCTGACAGGCAAGGCCAATCGGAGGCACCTCGGAATGATAATGGTGCTCAGGGTCTCCAACTGATCAAACCACGCAACGATTCTGGTTGCTAGCTCATCTTGAATCTCATCATCCCAATCGTACCCACGTGCCCACAGTTCCTGAAGTAAGATCTTCGCTACAACAACAAACGGGCCGATGAATCCCAAAGGGTCGAACACGGACGCGATTTTGCGCAAAACGTTCCTCTTAGTTAGTTGCAACCTTCCCGGCGAAGTCATAGGAATTGTGAACACGTCATCCTTGCTATTCCACGAGAGTCCTAAAGTCTTGGTGGTCGGTGTACTACTCGCACTTATGGTCAGCTCACAAGCTCGATCTTCTTCTGGAATCTCTGCCATTACTTTCGCTGAGTTGGACACCCATTTCCTGGCTTGCATATTGGCCGTCGCCCACAGATCCTTCAGCTCATGATACAAGCGTATCCCCTCGTCATCATTCTCAGCACTATCCAGAGAGTCATCCATGTACGTGGATTTCAACACTGTTTCAGCTGCCAAAGGAAACTGTTCCTGCTGTTTCCTGGCATTCTCCTGCACTACATATTGTGCCTCCATCGGAGCGGAGTTCTTCCCGAACACAACACGACTAAACTCGTACACTTCAGGCTCCTGATCTGGATTCAAGTCTCTCCATAGCATTCGGAAGTACGGTCGGTCTCGCTCTTCGATGACGATCTGCATATACATCTCCTTGATATCACATGCCACTGCTACTGGGTTGCGGCGAAATCTCAGCAACACATCAAACAAATCTTGCTGGAGCTTCGGGCCCACATGGATCTCATCATTTAGGGACACACCCTCGCATTTCGCCGAGCAATCAAAGACAATGCGTACCTTCGTCGTGGTTTTGCTCAATTTGACCACCGGAAAGTGTGGCAGGTACCACTGCACAGCTGCTTTCTCTCGAGGGTGTACCTTTCGTAGATACCCTTTCTCAACATACTCCTTTATGGTGCGACAATACTCTTCAGCCACAACAGGGTCCTTTCGCAAGTTCTTCTCTGTTGAAACAAGACGTGACCGGGCAATAGAGCTATTGTCTGGTAAGTTTGGCTGTCCTCGTTTCCACGGTACACCAACTTGGTACCTTCCTTCAACGATTGTGCATGATTTCTTAATCTTTTCCAGAGCGGTTCTTTCTTCTTCCGTCATAACTTGTGGCACTGTAGTCCCGAGTCCAGAGTTTTCGACTTCCCAGAAAGCTTTCAACGTGCGGTCTAGATCACAACAACTGACTCCACCTGCATCACCAACCGTCCCTGTACTCAACAGAGCTCGGACCGAATGAGATCTAGGAACCGATCCCACATGCTTCTTTGGAGGACCGATACATGTCCACCCAAGAGGTCCCAGACGTGCCACCGGGCCTCCATCATCACCTTGAAAGTCCACCATTGAAAAATGCATTTCCGGATTGTCTACACCGATCAGGACGTCCACTAATCCATCCTTTGCAGGGGTTGGGAAACTACATTGACTTAGGTGGGGCCAGTCCTTTTGAAATTTGGACCAATCTACTACGCGATAATTGCCCGTAACTTCCTTAGGGCAAGTTTGAACACTCACCGTCTTTGAAAATTGCCCATCTACACTTTCAACCTCTACTTGCAAAGGCATTGACTTGAAAGTCTCTACTGAACTGTTCAGGACATGTACTTGTACACTTTTCCAGGCTGCGCTCAGCCCCAAAGCACCTGCTAGCTCTTCGTTCATGAATGTTTCATTGGAAGCGTCATCCAAGACCGCATTCACCTTAATCTTCCTACCATTCCCCTTGACCCAAACTGGAACTGTTCGTAAAGAATAGGATTCCACATTTGACTTAGTATTCAATGTTGTCGTGGTAACATTAACATGTGCCCCCTCCCGAGGGGGATCAGAGCCGTTCGCACCAGTCGCCCCCTCCCGTGGGGTATCGGAACTCTTGGCAGTGGTTGCCCCCTCCCGTGAGGGGTTGGAACCTTTCGAAGGGGTTCCCGAAGCATTATTCCCTTGGCGACGTTCTGGGTCATGTAGTAAATGGTGGTGGCTCAATGAACACCCGTTTATGCCACAACGACCAGTCCTGCGACAATCTTTTCCATGATGATCCTTCGAGAGACAACGGAAGCATAATTTCTTCTCTTTGGCAGTTTTCCACCGTTCTTCCACGACCAATGCCCCATACCCCTTGCAGTACCATATCGGATGATTGCTCTGTCCACAGAACTGGCATGGTGGTCTTTGTTGACCATACCTGTCCGCCTCTGTCAAGAAGGTTCTGGATCTTGATCCATTGCCCTTCTTAAATGGTGGATCACTCAATGGCTTTTGCTCCAGCCCATGCGCCATTTCAACTGCTTCCATTTTTATTGCGACTTCTTTCTTTAACCACTCACACAAATCGGTTACGGATGGTGTCTTGCTGTGCACATTTAACCAACGGCTGTAGCTTTCCACTTGCTGACCAGACAACTTCTTAACAAGTTGACCATGTAAAGACCCTTCTCCTAGTTCAGCTTCCCGTCCCTCAGCTTTTAGCTTTGTCACTGTAACTCTAACTAAGTCTGTAAATCTATCGAATGACGACACATCATTATTCCGCAGCGGTGGTGTCTTTTCAAGCTCTTCCATATAAGCTCTCAATTGCCTTCGCTCACCTCCAAACTTCGATTGAATAATGTCCTTTGCTTCCTTATATTCTGCCTCCGAAACTCCTAGTCCTCGAATAGCTTCCAAAGCTCTACCAGAAAGACACTCTCTAAGTCTAGCCATCTTGATGTTCACAGGTTCAGATGATTTATCAACAAGGCTCTCAAAAAGGCACCAAAATTCCTCAAAGGTAGCTTTAGTTCCATCAAATTTAGGGACCCTTAATGCTTTTAAGTTCCGATTAATTGTTCCTCCTATAATACCAGGCGATTGTTCTGCAAGGTAATTAGTATTGGGTGACGCGGGGGTACCCATGCTTGGTGACACCTGTTCCAGACTAGGGGGTTGGGGTGATTGTTGCTGGCTAATGGGGGGTGAGGTATAATTTTGCTGCACTGCACCTGGGGCACTGGGTTGGGGTGCCTGTTGCAAGGTAGTAGGGGGTGACAAAACTGAAACACTCGGGGTCACAGTCACAGATTCTGTTACCTTCTCTGCTTCTAACATCATGTCCGTCAACCTTTCCTCAGCACGTTCAATTACTTCTTGTGTTTCTTCCTGTAAACTGTCCGATTCTTTCATTATTTCCGATTGTAACTCAGTATTTTCCATTTTTAAAGCTAACACACTCATCTCATCCATCACCGCCTGTGCTTCCTCTAAAATTTCCCATATTTCCTCGATACAACTCTCGATTTCCTCTCTTGTAGCTCTCATCTTAGCTAATTTCTGCAAACGATGCTTCGATTTAGTTAATCTAGTCTTTCGGGTTCTTTTTTCCTTTCTCAATTTAACTAATATTTCTCCGTACGGTACAGCTACGTTTCCTTGTCCATTTTCCTTCGATACTCCGCTCTCCACAACGTTTTCCTTCGCGTTTCCCTCCATAGATAACTCGGTAACTTCGTCGTCCGACATTATTGCTCACATTTGCCTTTCAAAATACGCCAATAAACACACAAAAATTCGATACATCGTCCTGGCAGGATCGCCAAATGTCATGCAGACGCTTGCTCCGCACTCGAACAAATCAAATACACACGATAATTTTTTATTTTTTAATCAAAATATAAAATATGAAAGACAATACAAAATAAAAACAGCGAAAAATTCCACTCGAAACACGCTCTAGTCCTAGTCTTTTTGCTCGGTCAGGTGTTTCCACCTTCCAGTGCCAAAACTTCAGAAAACTGAATATATATTAACCACAATGTCAAATCCCTCTTAAACATCCAGAGTGAGTTAGTTTATGTTGTGCCAAACTGCTGGACACTGTAAATCTCTTCTTACAAAGATCACATTCATAAGGTTTTTCTCCAGAGTGAGTGCGTTTATGTTTCACTAAGTGGCCAGACTGTCTAAATCTCTGCTCACAAAGATCACATTTATAAGGTTTTTCCCCAGAGTGAGTTTGTTTATGTCTCACCAAACTGCTAGACTGTGTAAATCTCTTCTCACAAAGATCACATTCATAAGGTCTTTCTCCAGTATGAGTTCGTTTATGTTCCTCCAAATTGCTAGACACTGCAAATTTCTGCTTACAAATATCACATTGATAAGATTTTTCTCCAGTGTGAGTTCGTTTATGTCTCATCAAAGTGGTAGACACTGCAAATCTTTGTTACAAATATCACATTCATAAGGTTTTTCTCCTGAGTGTGTTCGTTTATGTGTTACCAAATTGCTAGACTGTACATGTGTAAATCTCTTCTTACAAAGATCACATTCATAAGGTTTTTCTGCAGAGTGAGTGCGTTCATGTCTCATCAAGTTGCTTGAGGTTGCAAATCTCTTCTCACAAAGATCACATTCATATAGTTTTTGGTTGGCATGCATTTTTTGTGTTTAGAACTAAAAATAAATAAATAAATGATAAGAATTAAAATTTGGACATGTTGTTAACATGAAGGGTAAATGAGTTGATTACTTCAATTCAAGTCACACACACCAGGTTTGCTTATTGCTAGCTACCCTTTGCCACCAAGTGAAATTTGTCCTATAGCCTTTACCTTCTGAAAAAAATAATTGCACTTTCCAACTTAACACAGAAATTTTATCTTCAAATTTGCACAAAAGCAAATTTGATGCGATTACGGCAATTGCAACTTTGCATCAGTCGCAAAGTTCTTGCAAATCTATTTTTTCGTCCTGTGATTTTTGCTTTTTTTAAAACAGTTTCCCCCATAAGGAAGGGAGTTCAAATTATGAGTTTGGAACCTTGAGACACCTAAGAAATACGGAAGACCTATCTTTGATGTGGAACTGTACCATCACTGTGGCTGTACACAGTGGCAGATACTTTACAGAATTTTGAAAGGTTGTATTAGTGAGCAAACAAGTCATCTGTATCTTTTGTAGGTGGAAATATTAGTTCTTAATTTTTTTGTGTGCTAGATTTCAGTTAATATATAGCTTTACCTACGGTCTACCAATATTTAAAGGGTACAAAATGTCTTACAAAAGGATCAAGAAGCAATATTTATTTCAAGGGCTCAAAGGTGTGGCCTTTTCAGTGGTAGGTGGACAACATTAGGAACATTTTTAACTCTCAAGTCAGTAAGAGCACCACAAATGAATTCAAATTCTGTAGTTACAATCGAAAACATTCAATTTCAAATCGATACCAAAGATAAAAACTCAATATCAAAATTACTGTATCAAAAAAATTAGCTGGCTTGAATGAACTCAAAGCTATTTGGGGTAAAGGACCTACTCCGCAACCCTTGTTACAAGTTTTCTATGCAATTACTCAGTCCTCCCTCCTCAACGACCTATGGCTGGTGCGTACCATCATGTTTTGACAGAATATCACAGATAAGATGTTATGAAGTAAAATCATTTCAATACATCCCTGCAATTAACCATAGCAAAAAAGATGGCGGCATGTCTGAAATCATGTAAAAAAACAGATTAACATCTTTTGAAGGAGACATTAAGTTATTTTCTTACTAGTGTGAACATTTTCATCTGTTAGCTATGCTTCTTGTAATATTATTTCTGCTATATGTATTTAATGCCTGCAATGCATTTTGGTAAAATGTACATGTCGCCATCTTTTTTCCTATGGTCAATTGAAATTTTTTTATATAATATAAAAATTCTGCCACATCAAAAGCCTATGAAATGGTGAACCAATTGTCTTTGGGGGGCGGGCTCTATTTGCTTCTGACGGCACAGCCATTTTGTCTAAAGTATTTTTACAATCCGTCGCAGGGCCGCCTAGAGGGTGGACAAAGAGGCAATTTGCCCCGGGCTTCCAGCTAAAGGGGGCCCTACAAAAAAATAAAGTCAAATAGGTAGCTAATATAAGCCCAAATACACTTCCAGAGTGCATGGTTTTGCCATTTTTTATCTCCCAGGGAGAATGCTCCCGCAACCTTCCCAACGACTTGTGGTACTACGAGATAGAATCTCACGAGACCTTAAGCCAAATTTTTTGTCCCGTGCCCCCAAATTTGTCTCGACGGCCCTTATAACCCTAGGTAGCCCAAGAGATGTTGGTATTTCTTTGTATAAATAAAAACATCCATCCAGTTTCCTATATACAGTTCACGCACGCATGTGACGTGCGTAGCCTATGTATTATATTATGATAAGGTTGGCAACTAAATCTACGTTTACCCATACACTGCAACAAAACTGTCGCCAAAACATCGAAACTAAATCAATAAACGCAAAATAAACATTGTAAAAATAAACTTTGATGTTATTACTAGCCTCCACGTAATTTTTTTTGTCGAAAACAACCCGCGAAATAACAAAAATCGAGCAAAGTTTTTCGTGTTTTGATAAATATTTCGCTGTGACCATAGGCGGCCCAAATCTCAGTGTTTCTCGAAGCTCCTAAAGCTTTCTAAACACGCGCGTGAGAATACTTAATTCTCGTTCGCGTGACGCTCGCGCGTGCGACGCACGCACTTACGAGGCTTCTCGATTTAATATAATGACAAGGTTGGCAAGTATTTTCAATACAAATTCATCCACAACCTTTACGAATGCAAATATCTTTATAACTAACGACAAAAACGTTCAAAAAATTACATAACTTTAATCACTAGTAATTTTTTTACATACCCACGAAGTTTTAACTTCCGAAGAAATGTCTAAGCGTGTCAAAAAAGCGAATTCCGGTCATGTTTTTGACATAAAATTGTCAAAACCATGCTGGGGTCACCAACCCTGTGCATACGTCACAGTTTTTAAATTGCGAAGTAAGCGATGATTGGCTGCTCCAAATAACGCTTTTTGTCAAAAATTCCAGATCAGAGGGGGTTGTCACATGAACAAAAACACATGCACAGTGCACGGAGCTGCGAAAAAATGGAATTCTTCAGCGTGCTAGTGTTTATTGTTTGTTTTCGCCTATATATTTTCTGCATTGCAAGTTAAATACACTGAGAATATGGCATTCGATGAAGACATACAAAAATATTTCAAGAAATGTATTTGGTAAGTGCAGTTTTTATTCGTACCGTATCAATGTATGAAATTATTTTGAAAACCTTGCGATTTTGTTTTGCTATTTTTTGGCATTGCCTCCACTCATAAAAAGGCATAAAACTCTCCCAAATTGCCATAATATATATGGTTCTTCATGTTTTACAGAAAGATATTAAAAAGAGAAATCTTCATTTCGATAAACGCATCATGTTTACCTATATTTTATTCAGCAATATGCAGATACTACAAAAACATTACATTTGCTGAATAAAATATACTAGGTAAAAATGATGCGTTTATCGAAATGAAGATTTCTCTTTTTAATATCTTTCTTTAAAACATGAAGAACCATATATATTATGGCAATTTGGGAGAGTTTTATGCCTTTTTATGAGTGGAGGCAATGCCAAAAAATAGCAAAACAAAATCGCAAGGTTTTCAAAATAATTTCATACATTGATACGGTACGAATAAAAACTGCACTTACCAAATACATTTCTTGAAATATTTTTGTATGTCTTCATCGAATGCCATATTCTCAGTGTATTTAACTTGCAATGCAGAAAATATATAGGCGAAAACAAACAACAAACACTAGCACGCTGAAGAATTCCATTTTTTCGCAGCTCCGTGCACTGTGCATGTGTTTTTGTTCATGTGACAACCCCCCCTGATCTGGAATTTTTGACAAAAAGCGTTATTTGGAGCAGCCATGCAATCATCGCTTACTTCGCAATTTAAAAACTGTGACGTATGCACAGGGTTGGTGACCCCAGCATGGTTTTGACAATTTTATGTCAAAAACATGACCGGAATTCGCTTTTTTGACACGCTTAGACATTTCTTCGGAAGTTAAAACTTCGTGGGTATGTAAAAAAATTACTAGTGATTAAAGTTATGTAATTTTTTGAACATTTTTGTCGTTAGTTGTAAAGATATTCGCCTTCGTAAAAGTTGTGGATGAATTTGTATTGAAAATACTTGCCAACCTTGTCATTATATTAAACCGAGAAGCCTCGTAAGTGCGTGCGTCGCACGCGCGAGCGTCACGCGAACGAGAAGTATTTTCACGCGCGTGTTTAGAAAGCTTTAGGAGCTCCGAGAAACACTGAGATTTGGGCCGCCTATGCTGTGACTATGTGGGATGCAAATGGACTGATATTGGTCTTTGTTTTAAATGACGAATACAAGATTTCATTGGCCCGTAAAATTCACAGCAAACGGATGAAAACCGACGGCCAATGAAATCTTGTATTCTTCATTTAAAACAAAGACCAGTATCAGGCCATTTGCATCCCGCATAGTCACAGCGAAATATTTATCAAAACACGAAAAACTTTGCTCGATTTTTGTTATTTCGCGGGTTGTTTTCGACAAAAAAAATTACGTGGAGGCTAGTAATAACATCAAAGTTTATTTTTACAATGTTTATTTTGCGTTTATTGATTTAGTTTCGATGTTTTGGCGATAGTTTTGTGGCAGTGTATGGGTAAACGTAGATTTAGTTGCCAACCTTATCATAATATAATACATAGGCTACGCACGTCACCTGCGTGCGTGAACTGTATATAGGAAACTGGATGGATGTTTTTATTTATGCAAAGGAATACCAACATCTCTTGGGCTACTAGGGTTATAACAAAGCAATCCTTTTATACGAATTTTCAACTATTTTGCCTCATTCTTACAGATATTGAAGCAAGCAAAATATTTTTCATATTATTTTTACTTTTTGATAAAATAAAATAGAATTTAAACGGTAAGAAAGGTTGGAGATAACGTGGTGTATACTATAGTAAAGACTATGAAAGACTATAGTAAAGACTATGAAAGACTATAGTTCCTATACTCCGTAGCTCCTTAAGCACGGAGCCAGCTCCCTAGGCTTGGAGCCAGCTCTTTAGGCTCGGCGCCGGCTCCTTAGGCCCGGAGCCGAGCTCCTTAAGCTCGGAGACAACTCTTTAGGCTCCGAGCCGAGCTCTTTAGGCTCCTGAACCCCGGAGCCCGGCCCGGCTCCGAACCTGGGGAGTATAAGAACTATAGTCTTTCATAGTCTTTACTATAGTCTTTCATAGTCTTTACTATAGTCTTTCATAGTCAGGACTATAGTCTTTCATAGTCAGGACTATAGTCTTTCATAGTCAGGACTATAGTCTTTCATAGTTAGAACTATAGTCTTTCATAATCTTTACTATAGTCTTTCATAGTCAGGACTATAGTCTTTCATAGTCAGGACTATAGTCTTCATAGTCAGGACTATAGTCTTTCATAAAGATAGGGATAATAACATAAAGATAAGAAAATAAGGAGAAGGACGATAAAGATAAGCTATGGAATAATAGGAAGACCGGTATTTTGTATCGAGGCCAGCAACTTGTACTACAAACGAAGTATAGATCGTTAGTATTTCGAGAACTACACGAGAAAATGGGACATCTTGGTCCAGAACGCGTTTTCAACCTCGCGAGGGAACGGTTCTATTGGCCTGGAATGAAGAACGATATTGAACATTTTATCACGCACGTGTGTAGTTGTGTTAAACAGAGAAAACCCACCTTTACCAACAGAAAACCACTTCACTCCATTTCTACGTCCGCACCATTAGAACTGGTATCAATTGATTTTGTCCATTTAGAGCGAAGTTCGGGAGGGTTCGAGTATATACTGGTCATAGTCGACCACTTTACCAGATATACACAAGCGTATTCAACACGGAACAAGACCGCGGCCACAGCAGCCGATAAAATTTACAATGATTTCATTCCGCGCTTCGGTTTCCCGTCTAGAATACATCACGACCAGGGAGGGGAGTTTGAAAATAAACTGTTTCGTAGACTAGAGCAGCTCTCGGGAATCGCACATTCAAGAACGACACCCTATCATCCACAGGGAAATGGCCAGATGAAGCGGATGAACAGGACTTTGCTACACATGTTGCGAACGTTACCCGAAGTGTACAAGTCTAATTGGAAGGATCATGTGAACAAACTAATACACGCGTGTAATTGTACGAAGCATGAATCTACTGGTTTCTCCCCGTTCTTGCTACTATTCGGTAGACCGCCTCGTCTTCCCATTGATTTGATGTTTAACTTAACAAGAAAAGAAGAATCAATCGGTTATCCAGCTTATGCGAATAAATGGAAGAAAGCAATACAGGAAGGGTACATGTTAGCATCCAAGTCTGCGGAGAAAGCGGCGTCTAAGGGAAGGAAGCAGAGCGATAAACGCGTAATGTCGACTATCCTCTTACCTGGTGACCGAGTGCTGGTTCGGAACCTATCACTACGCAGATGTCCAGGCAAAATACGAGCGTTCTGGGAAGACGAGATTCATGTAGTGGTATCGAGGAAGAATCCCGAGAGTCCTGTTTATGATATCAAATCCGAATCAGGAAAATGAAAGATACGCATGTTGCACAGAAATTTACTGTTACCTTGTGATTATTTACCGACAGCAACGCCAGAGACGAAGCGGTTAGAGAAAGTGAAGGAACAGACCCCGATTATACACACCCCAGAGGATTCAGAATCCGATTCGGAGGGGGAGGAGTGACTGTCGCTGCCTCCAAACGAAATGGACGACAATGTTGATGAGTTATACAATAGGTGGTTTCAGCGTTTTTAGCATACTCTTGAGTCCTTTGTGCCTAATAGGACTGTGATAATTCGTTCAAGAGATAAACCTTCGATGAATTCAAAAATCAGAATAGCGATCCGCAAAAGGAATAGACTACTAAAACTTTTCTGCAGACGGAAAAGTCCGCATACATGGGAAAATTATAGATTGCAAAGAAATCTGACTACGGCACTAATACGTAAATGCAAAGTAAGTTATTTTTCAAATCTCAATAAAAAATTACAGGATCCTCAATTAGGTCCAAAAAAGTGGTGGGGCATTGTTAAGTCGTTATATGGGAGTAAAATTCAATCCAAATACCCGTTTTACAAGACGGACACCGTCTGATAACGGATTCGAAAGAAAAAGCCGCACTTTTTAATGAGTATTTTATTTCCCAATGTAAAGTGGAAAATAACAATGCTCCGCCGCCTATTTTAAACGAATTTGAAATTTCAAAAATTCTTTCGCATTTTTCCACCACCGAAAATGAAGTTAAAGATTTATTAAGCACTGTTGATGTTTCAAAAGGCTGTGGCGTAGATGGCGTAGGAAATTTTCTAATTAAGACATGTGCTGTTGGTATTGCAAGTTCATTTTCCCGTTTTATTAATATATCCTTTTCTAACGGAAAATTTCCGCTTAGTTGGAAATTGGCAAATGTTATACCAATTTTTAAAAAAGATAATCGCCAATCGAAATAGAATTATCGTCCCGTTTCTTTATTATCGTCTTTGTCGAAAGTTTGCGAGAAAATAGTATTTATTAGGCTATATAAATTTTTGCTTGAGATTCATTTCCTAAATCCTTTTCAATCTAGTTTTCGACCTGGAGATTCGACCGTAAATCACCTTGCATTCATTGAACATAAAATTTACAAGTCTCTTGAAGAAGGCAAAGAGATTCGGATGGTTTTCCTGGATATTAGTAAGGCCTGTGATAAAGTTTGGCATAAAGGATTGCTCCATAGGTTAGAATCTTTGGGAATAAGAGATCATCTTCTTAAATGGATCAAAAGTTATTTATCAGAAAGAAAGCGTGTTATAATAGATGGCCAGTCTTCGGACTGGATGCAAATTGAAGCCGCCGTTCCTCAGGGTTCCGTTTTGGGCCCCTTGCTTTTTTTAATTTATTTAAATGATATTACGCGTGATCTTCAAAGTAGCAATTTTCTTTATGCCGATGATACTTCTCTGTTTGATGTAGTCGATGATCCTAGCTCTACAGCAGTTAAGCTTAAGAATGACCTTCCACGTATTAATGCATGGACATACGACTGGCCGGTTACTATTAATCCGGGAAAAACCAAATCCATAATTTTTTCTGCAAATCAAATAAAGCCAATTCATCCAAATATATATTTTAATAATAAAATAATAGAAAATGTTAGTAACCATAAACATTTGGGAGTTACTCTTTGTTCTAATCTTTCTTGGAGGGCTCATATTTTTAATGTTTATGAGAGTACTTCAAAAAAATTAAACCTTTTAAAATGTCTGAAATTCAAATTAAGTAGAGAGACGTTATCAAAATTGTACAAATGTATCATTAGACCTGTAATGGAGTATGCCGATTTTCTTTGGGACGGCTGCTCCGTTAGTGAAAGTGATCTTTTCGATCACGTTCAGTATGAAGCTGCAAAGGTGGTCACCGGTGCTATGAAAGGCACAAGCAAATGAAGGGTATTGGAAGAGCTAGCTTGGGAAGATATGGGAACTAGGCGACTTATCATAAGCTTGTCTTGTTTTTCAAAATTGTAAATCACCTCACTCCAGGTTATTTGTCCGTTTTATTACCCCAGACAGTACAACAATGGTCCGGTTTAGTTTTGCGTTTTGCATCAAATTTAACTACTTTTCCGACTAAAACAGAAAGATTTAAAACATCCTTTTTTCCTTCAACAACTTTGCTATGGAATAGCATTGACTATGTAGAACGTAATAATTTATCAATTAATGCTTTTTAAACAGTATCTTAAGAATTTCTTTGATATTTCAAGTTATTAAAAATATTTTGATTATTCAATAGATAGATATTCTTCTATTTTGCACACTCGTCTTCGCCTTAATTGTTGTACTTTAAATTATTATTTATTCAAAATAGATTGTATTGTATCTCCAGTATGTGTGTTCGGCGCGATTTGTGAATCTGTTACTCGTTACTTGATAGAGTGTCCCCGATATTCTGCTCTGAGGTTGTCCTTGCTCTCGGTTGCTGCACAAGTGTACGGTCGGGGCTGGAATCGTTTGTCGGCTTCTCAAAAAGTACATTTATTATTGTTTGGTGAACCAAATTTAAATGTAGATGATAACATAGAAATATTTAGAAATGTTCAGCAATATATTAAGTTATCAGAACGTTTTCGGCAAAGTTAGTGGAAATCCTTCAGTTGTTCCAGCTTCGTGTCGTAATTTCCATTTACTCCTTTCTTGTTCTTTTTAAAAAAAAATTATGTAAATGTTTTTATGACGTAAGCCCCTCGATGAGCTTCATAGCTCTTGGGAAAACATCATTTATTAAATATATACGTTCAAATAAAAAAAAATGGACGAACTTGTACAATTAAGTTTACGACCAGAGTCGGTAAACGACGCGACAGTGGACCCAAGTACAAATGGCGATATTAAGCAGAGTAGGGAAGTACATGGTAATGAAAATGACGTGAACAGGCTGAACATACAAGTAGAAGAAACGATGGAAACGCCGGGTGATGTCGAAGAAACACCGGCGCAACCGGTTCGTCCACAAAGGCAAAGACAGCCACCGTTACGTTTTGGGTACAACGCACCTGGCTGTCCTACGGGTGTATTTCCTTTCATTTGGCAAGACCCTAACGTGGGATTAGTTCAAATACGAGATCCGTGGTTTGGTCCACCTTGGATTGGACCGATACAACCTCCGATGATATCAGTACCGTGGATGAGTCCAATACAGAATCCCATGTTCCACGCACAAGTGATGCAACCTATGATATCACCACCGCCTTTTGGTTACTACCCAACGTATTAGAAGACAAAGAGGAACATGTAAACATATTAAACATTCACATTTATATAAAAAACCCAACATTTAATTCACTTAAGATTTCACTGTACTTGATACAAATTAGTTGATACAAAACCTGTGTCGTCTACGTAGCAATGTGGATCACAGTTTTGAGGTGCAGTTGAGAGATCGTTGACATCTTGACATAGATGTTAAAGAGTAAAGGCCCAAGGATACTTCCCTGCTTCACGGCGCTCGTCAAAGGCAAGGCGTCCGATACTGTACTGTTTATTCGTACAACCTGCTGTCTGTTCGAGAGGTTACTACTGAGCCATTGTAAACACGATTGTGAACCACCCATATCTTCTAACTTTGACATCAAAAGATTATGATTAACACAGTCAAATGCTTTACTCATATCCAATAAGACCAGAGCTGTAACTTTCTTTTGGTCTATAGCATTTAGTATGGAGTGTGATATTAATTAACAAAGTTTCTGTCGAGAATCCACGTTTGTTACCACTTTGCTTGCTTGAAAGCCGCTTTTTCAACGTAAGATATTCTACAAATTGATTATAGGCAACCCTTTCGCAAACCTTCGATAAAACAGGTAATAATGATATTGGTCTGTTATTATTCGCCACTTCCGTGTGATCCTTTCCCTTTGGAAGTGGCGAATAATAACAGACCAATATCATTAGAACTTGGAACAGTTGCGTTAAGAAGATACGGATCTAAAATGTCAGAGACGACATTCAAGAAGGAGGAGAGTGTAGCCGTGTGAGAAAACGATTAAGAAACAGCTTTAAAAACTGGGACTTAGTCAGCGGTTATGTTATAGAAACGGGCTCAGCAAGATAGTCTAGCGCTTAGTCAGCGGTTATGTTGTAGAAACAGGCTCAGCAATATAGTCTAGCGCTTTTAAAACGAGAAAATAACGAACACATGTTTTGTAAAAGTTTTATTAAAAATACTCTTTAAAAGTGAATAAAATGTAATGATGGATCCATCAGCCGAAATCCGTGATCAACCAATCAGACGTTCCCAAAGGCTTCAAGAACGAGAACAGCGCGAAAATTCAAACATTCCAACTTTCTGATGAAGGCACGAAGTACCGAGACGAAAGCTCAAAACATTTAAATTACAATCCAGAGAACAAAATAATTTGTAGAATTATTCAGACAATTAATAAAATGCCTGGATTACAAATCTTTAACTCTCTTAAATATATATCATGATTTCTATCACCTTTTTCATACCTGAAAATTGATGTGATTTGCATGTGTATTGTTTAATATTATTTGCAAATATTTATTTGCCATGGTTTCAACTGTGCGGTGCTTTTTGAAATCTTTGACAGCTTGGCGCGATCGCAGGAAATTCCTGACTTAATTTCGCCAACTTTTCGGACTAATTTGTAAAAAATGTTGCTTTTTTTGCAATTTCTCTATATCTAAAGATTTCAATAATTTGGAACCTGATTTAATAAAACCTTTAAAACAACTTCTGACTTCAATCATTTTTCACATAAAAAATTATTTCACATTCTTAAAATTATATTCTGGGAACATTCACAAGCGGGCTAGCCCAGTTGCCGGGATGAAAGTTCAAAGGTACGGCCGCAAGCTATTTTTAACAACTGTCAAAACAACAGTTTTCCATACAAACTCAAAAGAAATTCATCCCGCTTACAGTACCGGAATGTCTTACTAAACAAGCCAGCCCAGCTTCCATATAAACAGGCCCTAAGTCATAATGAACCAACAAAGACAGTTAAAAATTGACTTGGACATTTGACTCGGACTTGAATTGGACTCGGTTAACCGACAAACTCCAAAATGAAATAATACTCACAGTTAGGGTGCGTTAGGAGTGGGGTTAGAGTTAGGAAAGGGTTAGGATTAGGGTACTAAGTCATTGAACAGCAAAGACCACTAAACAGTGACTCGGACATTTGACTCAAGCTCAGATTTGACTCAGATTTGACTTGGGTAACTGACAAACTCCTTTCTGCATGGGCTTGTAAGTTTCAAAATGTTCTTGGGGCATACCCACAAATCCCCAGGGTGCAGAGAACTTACTTTATCTCAGCACCAGCTCTCCTAATCATAAAATTGCCGTGTGTTCCATAGTAGTTAGTGACAGTAACACCAAAAAGCTGTGGATTGAGAAGGGTTTGCAATAACACCAGAAAACTGCAGATTTACTTGCATTTTCAGGTAGTTGAATCCTTCTCCATCCGTAGCTTTCTGGTATACATACAGTCTGAAGTCACTCAGAAATGTCAAGGTTGCTATGAATAGTAGTAATTATTAATGTTTCAATCTGAATATTTAACACTGAATATGGAAACGTAATCATTGTGGTGTGCCTTTATCATTGTGAATAAATCAAATGCTTAATTAAATAAACCACGTTATGATCTTGAGTCTTCTTCATTCTGGTTTAATAATATTTGGTTTAATAATGCTGCCGTATTTGGTCATACGGCAGCATTTCCCCCCTGCGATAGTAACTTCTAGTAGCCAAATAAATAATGATATAGTTGAATAAGTGCCTTGTGTAAAATTCCTACGTGTATTAATTGATCAAGAGTTGAAATGAAAGAACCACATCAGCTCCGTTCTGAAGACATATTACGAACAAAAGCATTTCGAAATTGATTTATTATGCATTAGTCTATCCATAATCTAGTTTGGGGAAATTACATACCCAACAAGGTTACAAAAGTTTCTAAATGTACAAAAGAAAATGTTCAATCAATATTTTTACAATTAAAAATCTTGGATATCTATAAAATTAATGATTATCTATGCAGCTTAATATGCATGTATCGCTTCAATTATTGTCAAAATTTGCCGAAATTTTATAATGATTACTTCAAACAAAATAACGAATTACACAACTATAATACTCGACATTCTACCAAGTTACACGTGGGCTATAAGTGAACAAACTATCGCAAATACACTGTATTTAACAAAGGAGTTTCTATATGGAATTGCCTTGATGAAGAAATTAAAAATATTAAATCATATTTTTCTTTCAAGAAAACTGCAAAATCGCACAACTTGATGTTATTGTCTAGTTGATATAAATATTTCAGGAATATTAATAACAGTTTTCTGTAATGTACTAAATATTCCTTAAACATTTTCCATATTTGTTTGTAAATAGTTTGTGTTTTCCATTCCAAATTGTTTTTATGTACATAATCTATTTTTATATTACTAAACTATAGCGGGGCCTCGGTTTAAAAGTTCAACAGGATTTCCAGAGGTTTCTAGCCCGTTTATATACTATTCTTAAATATCCAAGTTGTAAATATTATTTGTGGGTAAATAAACTAATTAATTGCACTATCATCCTTAAATCGCTGTATTCAGGGGCGTACGAAGCATCAGAAAGTTGGGGGGCGTCCGTTTCGAGGGGCACTTTTAGAATGAAAAGGGCACCTGAAAAATGTTTTCGGAAATGTTAACAACGGGGAGGGGGGGGAGCAGGGCCGTAGCTAGCATGTATAGTTAGGAGGGGGGTGTAGGCCAAAAATTTCCGAATGACGAAAAAATTTTCCGAATATTTCATGGCCTACGAAGCCACGAAAGTGTTTGCTATCCGGAAAATTAAGACGCAATTTACAAACAAAAATACGCATATTTTACGCAAAGACGTATTAGAAGCATGCAGTGGCTTAGGAATAAGGAGTCTCTTAATGATTGGAGGTTGAGAACGAGGGCCAAAGGCCCGAAGAAATTTTTAAATTTAGAGTCTCTGAAATGCCATTTCCTAGACTTTCGGAAAGTTTTGACAGAATTCTGATAGTCAGAAAACAGTGTTTCAGTATGTCTAAATTTACAATTTGCCTGCAATTTAGTTGTACTAAATGGGCGAAGGAGAATTTAATTAACTATATATTGGGGAAGTTGCGGGAAAGTATGGATAATATGATTCTTTGCAGTTTGTTGTGGATACTGTAACCGATTAAAATTAATCAATTGTCATTATTTTAAAGGTACACTTTAAATGATAAAGGTCTCCATGATTTTGACAAAAGAATGGTTATTAGCAAATTATTGGGAGAGCTGCAGCCCCCCCAGCCCCCCCCTCGCAGTTGCTTCGGCCCTGAGAAGTAATCAACCGAAAAACATTTACCGATTTATGATTTCAGTTAAATGCAATGCAAGTAAATGGCATGATTTCGACAACTAAAATTATGTTATACTATTATTGCCGTAATCTTCCGATTAGCCAACCCTACTTTCCGAATATGTTAATTTTTAAAAAGTTGTATAGGTTATTTTGAGGCAACGAGGGGATATGTTATTTATTTATAAACACATATCCCCGAGGTGCCGCAAAACAACGTACTTATTTTTCACATATATTGCGAGGTCGCGTTAATGAGTCAGAATAGAAATAATTCTTACTGCCATATTGCCTTCGTGATGTTGTTTTTTCTCATTTTTTGTGCTACAAAGACATTGCAGGGGAATATTAGAGGGGATTATTAAAAAGAAATTGATTAGAGGGGAATAGTAAATATATTCCCCTATAAGAACAAAGGAAACCGAGCAGGGTGAAAAATAAGGGGAGTTAACCATCCTCCCTCCCCCCAATACCCTATCTCGCTACGACCCTGGGGAAGGGAAGAAAAATAAATGCAATCATAAAGGGCACCTATAAATTTTTTCCGGAAATGTTGCGAAAATGTTTATTTATTTATTTATTTATTTATTTATTTATTTATTTATTTATTTATTTATTTATTTATTTATTTATTTATTTATTTATTTATTTATTTATTTATTTATTTATTTATTTATTTATTTATTTATTTATTTATTTATTTATTTATTTATTTATTTATTTATTTATTTATTTATTTATTTATTTATTTATTTATTTATTTATTTATTTATTTATTTATTTATTTATCTATTTATTTATTTATTTATTTAGCTTTGCCAACTTAGGGCAGGGTCACCACAAACGCATATGCCAATTACTGTGGGCCCTTTTTTACC